AGTGCTGAGAAGTTTCCACCTCTCAAGCTAGTGGGTAAGAGGGGACTCAGAGCTAAACTCCAACCGACATCACTGCTGCATCCATCCAATCCATCACCACCATGTCGTACCGCTGTTGTGTTCGCATACTGAATGTCATGACGAACCCCCTCACACCCTTGAAGAAAAGCTCAATCCATCTTAAGCGATTTACTTGCCAGGAGTCGCTTCTGACCTCGCTTTCCATATTCCATCTGCCACTCCCGCCGTCAGGTCACCAAGTTGTTAGAGCTCTTAACGTACCTATTCACACAAGTGAACAACAAACAGCTCGCAAACATGGCCGTGGAAGGTTCCTTGCTTGCCCATTATCCCATGGACCAATTAACCCATCCGTGGCAGCTTCCATCCATTCCAGGGTACATGAGCATACCGGAAAATAACTTTTCAGACTTCAGAATATTTGAACCCAGCAAGATCGAAGCCTATTCGCCATCCCCAGCCCTCCTGCAGGCGATGATCCCGCAGTATGTCCAGCCTCGAGACACATACAAATCATCCTCCTCGAGCGAGTCCGTCGACTCAACACATAGCAGACACCCGTTGTTGGATTCGCTGTCGAGTTTCGTGTCACTCGATCGCCAACAGACCTTGCATCGCCTATCCCTCACGCCGACCGAATCAGACAACGACACATACCGACCCCGCAATACACCGGTCAGGCGGCGGAAAGCCACCAGGAGCCGGATTACGCCTCGGTCGAACAAGCACGCCAGGGAACTCGAGCTCAACCGGAAAGCGGCGACTAAATGTCGCAATCGACAGAAAAACTTTGTGGAAAAACTGCAAAAGAAATGCCGCTACGAGGAGGTAAAGATGCATGAGCAATCGACGCTGGTGCACGCCTTGCATGACGAGGTAGCCGTCCTTCGGAAAGAGGTAATGAGACAGAGTTTATGTGGATGTCAATCTCTGCCAGTGTTGTAAATAATCTTTTGAATCTTAATCAGGCCCTGATTATGATTAATTGTGAATCATTAACCCCCGATTCAATGATTAATTGCTGATTCATCGATTAAATGTCAATATCACCCACTATTTAATGGTTGATGGTCCTCAGCACCTTCCAGAGCCCCTGCAATGTCATCCGATGCCTCAAAGCCTCCCCCAAACTGCTCAATAGCTTTATCTATAGCCTGTGATGTTTCCAAAGCCGTAAAAACACTATGACTAAGCTTATTCTTCATCCAGCTCTTCACACATGGACGGCCGGCTCTTTATTGCGCTCGTCTCCACGTCTTCACGTATCGACCCAATGGAAACAGGCGTCGGTGAAGGCACTAAGAATTCCAGGGAGACAGGAAGGCGTGGGTGTCGACTAAGGTTAGCATTGCTTCCCGAAATTGCTACTAGAGGAAACATGCTTGCCCGTAAATTCTTGACTAAGCCATTTGCCGTTTGTTGGGTCAATACTTGGCATCAAGGAGGGATGATGAATGAGATCTCTGCCCCTTTCCACCTTTATGGTTACTGTTCTGCTTTATATGCAAACTCACTAGGCATTTGATCTCCAGGAGCCCATTTCCATGATTCAAAGCATTCCAAACGCTGAAGCAATGGCGCTTACTTTACCTGAGAAGGAGGCATTCTGGGCTGATCACAGGGTTTATTACCCACTTTGGTTAGTGCATCACGTGCTATGGCTTAACACGCGCTAGTCGTCTTGGCGCCATTAGCCGCTGGAGGTACAAAAGTGAAAATCGTGTGGAGAGTCTTTTGACCCTGCCAGCCATTAGTTGAAGCTCACCTCGATGACCATCTGTGAGCCCATCGTATTGTCGTATCTCCAGATGGTCGACGTCTTCATTGAATCCAGGATGAATCGAGTGTACATACAGCACTGTACTGTACACACGCAATACATTTTGACCCTCGATGAACAGAATCTCTTCCCCGCTCTCCCGTGGTAGAGAGCACGCACCATGCCCATCCACATGAACATGTTCGTGACCGTTCATGCGACCGGCCCTGTGTTTCAGAACCTGCAGGCCAGTTCCCCATGATCTTGTGGCCACGTTACCTCGTCCTCAGTAGGGGACAGCACGACAAACAGAGGGTGCGTGTCAGGGTCAGAGCGATGCCCCTGATGGGTGCCATTTTCTTCGATTTGGACATTGGAGGTTACTGGCGAAGCAGCTACAGGTACAGTACCATTCTAGAGAAAGATTTACGAATTTGCGACAGTCTTAATCTCCGTGTCGTTCAACGACCCCTACATACTGTAAGATAATGTCGCAAAGACCCTGCTCATAATTGTACCGAGCCAGCTGAACTATACTAAACGCCTTGTCAGCATTGTACTTTGCCTCAGTCACCACTATCCCCTTGCCGCCAGTTAGCCATCCAAGAAGTTTTAACGGCCTCCACTCGCACAGCAGTTCGCGTCGCTCATCAGGGGCGGAAATGTTACTCAGAAATTTCACTACACTTCCGTCGAGTCGTTGACTGCCATCCCAGTCTCCTCGAAACCATCTCTTCCGGCGAGCACCCTCCCCAAAAGAGCGGCAGGACGGAGAGAATGGTCGGACTCCGTTCCAGATTACCTGCGCTTCTCTGCCTCACAATCGTCGGTCTGAGAATGGCAACTACTGGAAGAACAGTGTCAGCCCTGGACATGATGTCGTGATGGTCGACTTTGAAGCCCTTTGCAAACTTCGTTGGGAAAGTCCACGAGAATTAGCACGGCGTCGCTCCAACAATGCTTGCTGGCGTGCACCATCTGCTAGCAAAGATAGAATATGAAGGGAAGATTGCTAGTGTGAAAGATGCCAAGATTTTGGTTGTTCACACATGAAATCGTGGTTCATGGAAAGAATGATTTTGCAGTAAGCGGTGGGTGGCACCGTTTGATTGGGTGGTGTTATGCCAAGGTATTGATTTATTTCGTTCTTAACATTCTCTCCTCCTTTCCTATCCTCGGATGGGGCAAGGAGGACGTATCGGCACCTGAGCCACTCATATTTTCCTAGCGACGGCCAGGAAGACATGCGGCCAGGATCAGTGGCTCCTCCTCCTCCTCCTGTTCGTCAAAAGTCACTTCAGCCTGGACTTCATCCTCGTCACTGACGCACCCTTGATCTTCTAAGCTCGCCAAGTCCCCGTCTCCACCATCCCCTGGCTTTATTGTCGGTTTCCTCTCCTCATTTTTGAAGATTGCTTGTTCTTCGATGTCGCTGTCATCGGTAATGTTGCCTGCTCTCTTAAGGCATTGAAGGACTCAACGCCACTATCCTCCAGCTTGACTGCCAGCTTCTCAACGCGCGGTGAAGCCCTGGCTTTTAGCAACGGGCGTGATGTCGCATTCTGATCATCATGAGCGTCCTCTACAGGATGGAGAATAACGTCGTCCTTGCAATTTTCCCGAGCGTTTCTCCTCCTCTCTCTTCTCTTCTCGAGCAACCCTCACCAGGCCTGTACCAACGCCTATGCAATAGCTATATTTTGCGTTTTTCTACCTTGGTCAGCAGCCGCGAATGCGTGGTCGAGGATTTACGGGCAAGCATATTTCCTCATATAGCAATTCACGAAAGAGAGGCAATAGTCGACCGGATGCTCGTGGCTTATGCCAAGGCTAAAGTCTTGAAGTCTCGCTTACTGGATTTAAGGTCTGTCCTAGAGTTTTACATCCTTGCAATGGCAGTCTTTCTGATTGCTCGTTAAATGTGAGTTTGCACGGAGGCAAATTCCAGCCACCAGTATCCCAAGTATTGTTAGGGAATCAGGAGCCAATGGGTGATCCGTTGGGGGGTTGAATGTTATGATAGCTTGCGGTCTAAATAGATGTGGGTAGTGATTTCAATCTACGCATCATTTCTATACTTTATCAATGCTCCCTCATCGACGCAGCCATATTATCAAGAAGCGACACCAAAGCCCACGCTCCAAGTCTGGCCAGGAATTGTTAGGGCTACGTACGTATTAATTTTGCTGCTCCCCTACAACAAGCATATCGTTCTGAACCACTTTACCGGTCCACAAATGATTCTGGCTGGCAGTGATGATTGCATGACGGCCACTCATGTTGTCCTTGTGCACTGGCCTTCTGTGGAGATGGTGCTGACTGAGTTCAACTCTTGGTTGTGACGTCTGGGAAAACAAGGAGCACCTTTTCATACCGCTAGCATACTGGAATATCATCATTGTAGAATGGAAAGCTCTTGAAAGCTTGAAAGAAGATGCAACTGGGTCATTCCCTATTCTCATGGATTTCCTTTAAGATTATATCAAGTGGAAGGGTGGAAGTTTTGCTTATTGGGGTCGGAAGCTGGGCCAGCTATTATCCCAACACAGGAATCCAGAGAAGACGGAACGTTTCGCAGTCATCGAGTATTGTGCCTTCTAAACACCCGCACCACTCTCCCTGCCCACTTTTTCAAGAGTAAATTGAGAATCCAATAATCTTTAGATTATATAAAACTTAAAATTACATTATAGGAAGGTTAAACCAAATATTACATAGATATATTTAACAAATAGAAAAGAAAAGTTAAAGCTAAATAAGTATAAATTAAATAAAATAAAGGCAGAGGCTTTATAATTAAACAGAAATTAAAAAAAATGAAAAAAAATAAAATATACTTAGCTGTAATTAGGAATGTGTAATTTAACAAGAATTAGCTTATTAAAGTTTAACCTACCCCTTAAAAAAAGATATATTAAGTCTAGTATAAGAATTATTAGAATAAAGAGTTTGATGATGGCTCTGATTTTTTAAATTTATGAAATTAAATTCAACATTTTTATTAAATAAATGTTAGAAACTAGGTTGCAGTGGCTCCAATAGAATATAGCGCTAGACCTATTTAGGTCTAGTAAATCGAGTAGAGAAGACAGTGGAAACGCTATCCTTAGTTGTGTTGATAAATGAATGACTTGTAGATTTCTATCTAAGTGAGTGACTATAGCTAGTATATATAGATAAATCGAAAGTACTATAGCTTTCCAATCTATTCTAATGATTATAAATCACTAGGTAAATCCTTGGTGATTTCTAATCAGTAGAAACTGTTAGAATAATAGAGAACTAAAGGATTGCGTTAGCTATTGTAGCTTTATAACGTTAGACTGAATTAGGATTAGATCCTAACGCCTAAATGCGTTAATTAGCCCACAGCGTAGCCTTATCACGTGATAAGGTTCTGTTGGAGCCTCGGAGGGCTCCCCGTGCGTAAGGCTGCTAGTTGATAGCAGTGCCTTCCTGACAATAAAACTTGTAAATAATTCTTTAGATATTGTAAATATGTATAATTAAATTTTGATTTATTAATATAAATCAATTGTTTAAATTATATATATTTTAATATTTTTCTTAAATATTTTCTTATTCGTCAAGTGACAGAGCACTGCCTGATGTTGGACCAGGCTCAAGAGCCCGTCATCACCCTGGTCATTGAGAATCTCAAAATCACATTACCTGAAAAGTCCGGGGACAATGGAATTGGATCGACCCAGGCTACCTACACCTCAGAGGGACCGAAAGAAGTTGTATGTAATCAGAGGTGATAGCTGTGGATGCATCAGCCTATCCGCTCAGCTACATAGGCATTTAAGCGACACTCAAGATACAGTTCTGAAAAATTTGCTCCTCTTTCTCGTCTTTCTAATTGGTCAGACTCTCTCAGCGCCTAGATCAATGTCGGTTCATGAATTGCGACGTGCCTCTTGGCAGTGCTACAGAGTGGATTGCAAGGTCTCTAGAGCTAGAGAGATGTTCCTGAGAGCGCACTGGGGAATGACGCCAAGCTTTATGACATCACAGGCGAAAATCTGTTCCTCTTCCTCACCGGCAAGGAGTTGGAGTACTGTATCGATCCGCTTTAGGACTCGTCCTCATGTCGCGAGAGTTCGGAGTGTGAAATGGCCGAGGTCTTTTACACTATCTGCTTGGTCAAGGAAAGGCCAGCAGCCTTTCTTACTTTAGAGGTGTAAGCTCGTCTGAGAAGTCGGGTAGAACACCACCGTATTTTCATTGTGTTCGCTGGTACTCTACTGGAAATGCGAGACCCGATGCTGAACGGACGCAGGATCAAGATTGATCGCGAACTGGTCATGTCTGAGATGAAAAACGAATCCTTTAGCTGGCCGAAGCTGCAAGAATCATAGTCACCTGTTTAGTGAATGAGCATGGGAAAGCATCTGGCTGAAGTGACCATCTATCTGTCCCCATCGCCTACACCTGAAAATCTCCATCTACAGGGCCAATGAATTTTGTTGACGGTCTTTTCGAGTACCCATTCCCCATCAATGCATTCCTCGTCAATGATCTGTATGAACATTCCACCTGCAGTGTTTCTTAGACACGCTCCAAAATCATTTTCCTTGTAACGAGAGCTGGGAGTGTTTATGGCCGCTTCAGGAAGTCCCCCATCCTCCACCATGGCTTTACAATACTTGTTTGAATTTTGCTCTCACCATGAGATTTCTGGTCAATGCTTTGCGGCTCTTGCAACAGCCTTGATTATCCCGTACCAAGGACGAATATACCAACTCCGTTTTCCAAAGCCATATGTAGACCCTCTTTTCGGAGGTATCCCTTTGTCCCCTCTCTTCAAATTAAGCTTTCAGAAGCAGGCCCAGCTTCTTCCGTTCTACATGTCCATCAGCTGCAACACTCAAGGCATAAGACCTCTTTTACATGGTCCTTTACGAACCAAGCGTACCTTGTAATCTAGTTGATTCATGATGGAAGGCGAATCGATCTCGCGTCACTTTGCTCTCCCACCTTCCCATGTCTTTTCATTGCCAATCTTCTCGATCTGTGACTTTTTCGGTTCCAGATTCATCGCCTATGTCAATCGCTTTAATGCCTTGCATTGCCTCGTAGGCCGCCGTGACTGCGGGCGAACGCCTCGAGGAGCAGAATTCTGTAGAGAGTCAAGGCTTTTGTCCAATGACAATGACCCTTGTGAATGAGATTAGTACATCCGAATACGCGAAGGTAATTTCAGCCTAGGGCATGGACTTACAAAGGATAATATAGATGATGTTGACGACTGTTGATCTCTTCAAAGGCTTCGATGCACGCATCATTGACCTGTTTCACAGACCACTAATTTCACGAATTAGGAGTCATGTGCGTCGATCAGAGATTTGCGCATTTACGTTCAAGTCCGGGTACAAATCTGCAATAACCATCCTTGGAGGCCAGTCTTGTAGAAGCGCTCGTAGAATCTTCCAACATCTTTTAATTTTGGATCGGTGGCCCACGACCCTAGCGGTAGTTTGAGTTTTCGCTCTTGAACATTCACGAAACCGGCTTGCTCCATCAATTCCTTCATACTCTTAGATATATAAAGGTCCCGTCCGGAGGCTAGCCCCATTTGCTTGGTGAATGTACAGAGCTCCTTGACTTTACTATGTACAAGGGCGGACTTGTCGTCGCATTGAGCGTTGATTTCTACTTCAATCTGTTCGATCCATCCACCGGAGCGCATATTCCTAGGAGTCATTAGCTGAAGAGTTAAGGAGATTAGGTGCTCAATTAGCGGTTAATAGGAAAGTAACAGTAAGTAATATGGTTAGAATGTGTTTGTAAGTTAAGATATGACTTACTCAAAGCATTGTGTGTACAGCTCAGGCCAGTCCTTTACTCCAAATAGTGACCTAATATGAACCAGATCGAATTTCATGGAAGGATTATCTAGAACCCATTCTTCAGTTGCATCCGACATAATGTAGGAACAGTTTGGATTAATAGATCGCTCGTGGGGAGTCGTGTCGATTCCCACAACCTTCGCATTTGGATATCGCTCAGCAACTCCTTCGGCCCATAGACCTAATCCCGATCCTACATCGGCAACACAACGAAGAGACGATTCAGGAATGGGAGATAGATAGTCCTTGTTGTCTAGAAGCAGTAGCATCATGTGGTGCATAAGGATCTCGTTTTCTTCCGAAACTGCATCGTAAGGAAAGGGGTGACCAGCTTTATAGTCGTGGTATCGACGGCCATGTTCGATCCTGAAGTTGTACGCAGATGAGGCTACCGAATAAATTGAGGCTGAATCAACTTCATCATCCAATCCAAATTGGACACGACCGTAGGACTCATCCACGGGAATAGTATTGGGGATGTATAGATTGTCCATGTCCATGTCCATGTCCATGTCCATGTCCATGTCCATGTCCATGTCCATGTTGCCATGAGGTGTGATCACAGCTCCTAGGCTTCATCGAAGACAATACAAAAGAAGTTGAGGAACGAGACAGGGGACGTAGTTTTTGCGATGCCAGGAGAGATTTAAGGCTAGTTGAGACGGTTGTCCGTTGAGAAGGTGGATGGTCGGATTTTTGTTTCGAGTGGGTACTGACTTAGTCGGGGATGAGGTTCAAATAAAGCGGTGGAAAATCACCCAAATTGGGAACGAGGGGTCGAGAGCACTCTACCGAGTGATCTCTGACATTTTGACTATGAATCCAGATGCACCTTTCCCAAACTCCCAAACTCAAGATTCACGACCATGCTCAGCTCATCTTGCCTGCCAGGCGATCTAACCCTCGCTGACGCGTTGTCCTTCCCAGATGAATGGACCTTGCCGGATTCTTCCAGATCTATAGTCGTATCGTCCGTGCCAGCGCTTCCCCAAAGACAGGGTCCGTTTCCTACTTCACCATCAGCCCCAGGCTTTTCTTGACATCTGGACTTGTAACATTTGGCGTTCTACTGTTGAAATATGTGATTACCCGAGAGGAACTTCGATGAAGTCTCTCCTCTGGATCGCCATCTGGGGTGCGTCATCCAAATCCCAAAAATACACGACATTGAAGAGATTAAAAGTTGAAGGTCACGTCTTGGTCCGCTTTGAAAGAAGCAGACGAGGAACGTGAGGCAGAACAAGATCACTATCAACTCAATGTGTTAAATGATAGCCCAAAATCAACGGAGCTTCCAGAGCAAATTCTCATCTTCGACATACAGTTCAATCGGAGCCTGAAAATATATACTATTGCGAGCGTCCAGAACAGCATTCCCCCATGGCATGACCTTGACTCAGAGCCGGACTTCACGTTACAGAATGAGACTTCCACACGGGGCGACTTTGTGACTGTCAAGCTCTACGATAAAAGCGATTCGGATGGCGACATCGCGCACATTGACGATGTCAAGGCTCTCCCGAGCCCGGATCAACGAAAGCTTGTGCTTCTTAGTTGGGTCTACCCTTACAATGGGACATACCATGGGAGCAATTATATGCAGATTGTTCTGTGGGATACCATCGGCAGTCACGCAGCTACGGAACAAGTGCAAGGTATCTGCCACGACCAGTTTTATAATGCCTGCGGAGGGGTCAAACTTTGTGGTAAAAAGCAAGCGGACGTGTGGCAGAAAAGAAAAGATGAAAAAACTCAACTTCGCCGGGGGCGAGCCCTTCCTCTACCCCAAGTTCTTGGGCAGTCTGGTGGACTATTGAAAGGATACCCTGAAGCTGCACTCCATCTCCATCGTCACAAACGGCAGCTTGGTCATCAAGGCATTCCTGTCGAAGCATGGACATCAAATTGACATCTTGGCCGTATCGTGTGACTTATTTGACGAAGAGACCAACGTCGCAATTGGCAGGGGCGCTGGAAATCTGGTCGAAAAACTATACCAGATTGCCGAGTGGTGCCGAGAATTGGGCATCATGTTCAAGTTGAACACCGTTGTCTGCAAGCTGAACGTCAGTGAGGACATGAACCAGCATATCTCCAAACTTCAGCCATTCCGGTGGAAATGCTTCCAGGTTTTACTGGTCGCAGGGGAGAATGATTCGAAGCAGACATTGCGAGACGTCCGGAAATTCATGACCACGGATCAGGAATTCGATGAATTTTGCGGAAGGCATCAGCAACAGGCGTGCATAGTGCCGGAGCCCAATAGATTGATGGCAAAGTCGTACCTGATCTTGGACGAGTACTTACGATTTCTTGACCGAGATGGCCGCTAGCCGTCCACGCCAATCCTCCAAGTAGGCGTGCAGCAGGCATTGTCAGAAGTATTTTTGGATGAGGACAGCTTTTACGAGCGAGGTGGCGTCTACGACTGGAAACGCTCCACCATCACCAATTGTGCCTCCAATGGTCATATGGATTGGTGACTGGCTGAGAATCATGTGATCAGAGAAGCAACTTTGCACAAAGTCCGTAGGAAGGAACCAATTATATCTGTGGCCAACAAGTTTTGCTTGTCTTGTGGCTTGCACATCACAACGTACAACCTAGACTGTGCCAGCTTCAGGCATTAGTGCAGCTAATACATGCAGCTTGATAGTGGATCGAACATATTCACGCTTGCAAATCTCAAGCATGCAACTCGACTTGCGTAAGCATCATGGATTTCTGAACGAAGCTTCAGCACTCATCGCTACTGCAATCGCGTTCGTCTGCGAGACGATCTCCATAATTTCTTCCGTTTTCTGCGCCCGGGATAGTAACTCTTGCGATAGTCTTTCCTCGTCCTCATTGACGTGCCTTTTTTTGATCGCACGTTGTATCTCCAGCACTTTTCGGCTCATTTGCGTCATTGCTGCCTGTATCTCCAGTATTTGTTGAGTCGTCCGCCCACAAGCAAGTTCCCCTGCCTTAATCTGTCCTCGAAGCTCCTGAGCCCTTTATGGATGCCCATCCTGCTGCCCTCTAAGTTCCTCCGCTCGGGCTCTCAACCTGCTCAGCCGCCGAACTCTCTCCACGGCACCGCCAGATTGTGTCTGAGAAATTGGCTGGCTCATGCCAGTGGGCGAATCAGTGGTTTCGGACTTCAGCGAGTCGCTTGTTAAACCATGTGCACTTTTTGCTATTATTTTGTCAGCCCAGAGCCTGCACCTAGTCCCACCACTTCAGCCATCAGATAACTCGTCTGCCGTAATTGAGTGATGAAATGTGACAAGAAGCGATCTTGTCCGCAACAGCTTGCTGTCAATCGCCAAATTCCTACCACGAGCTGCTGATTTGAGGTCAGGATGAGGCTGTGAACACACAGCTGTAAGGCAGATGTATATGCGGGATTTCAAAGCAGATGTGGGTATCTGCAAATGATGTGAAAGCTTCGAGACTTGCCCTCTTCCACGCACGGCCCGTCCCCCACTTCCGACAAATTATCGCATGAGCCAATTAAAGTGATTGTTGCATTGCGCCTCCTGATGGCACTCGCACCCAAGTGCAGTACGCGGCAAACCACTACTCGCTCCAATAGCTTGTCTCAGGTTTTACCGCAGGGGTGAATGTTAGATGAATAGCCAATTGGAGGTCGATGTGACCGAAAAAGACGTATCGCCCCAAATTTTGTTCCCTCCTAGCGTGGAAGCAGAATTACCTACCATTTGATAGCATCATAAGTCTAATAAAAAGAGAATGGAACATCTTGCGAGAATGCTTCGGAGGAGGTTACAGTACTAATGGAATCACTGCACTCTAACTGCTGATTGTCCCTTTGCTACCCCTTCTGCCTCTAAGAAACGAACGAGTACTTTCGTGGACAAGCTTGACGTCAACTTTTTGTTAGGTAAGGGGCTCAAATGCCCCACATCCGTCTAACACTCCACTGGGGCGCTTGCACAAACCGGTGTGACAGTCTACCACGTTTTACCTGTGATCGTACTATTGTTTCTCCATTCCCTTCTGAGCATCCCTGATGACCATGGGATCTTCTATCTCACGTGATTGGTAGGTGAATTTTCTTACAAAAGAATTTTTCTCAGTCCTTTTCTGAGCTGCAAGGGCCAATCAACCTTTTAAGAGGAAAAGACCATTGTTCAAATTTCAATTGCTAAGAATGGATGTAGAAGCCACCGCAGCAAACGAAAATACTTTGAGACAGGCATCTGAAACTTTACGTAACAGACATCTACCCCAAAACCCACTCGTCCCAGACCCCCACAAGGAAAATGCGGTTTTCGATCATTTCAACCAGCGTCGAGATGACTTGGGAAAAGACTATTGCATCCTACTGAGTTGGACTTCTAACAGTAGCACTTACCTTGTGGATATCCCTGTTGCCGACCCCGACAACGAAAGCAATGCCATTAAAGACATGAGGCGTCAATACTACGAATGTCGGGGCTGGTGGAGGCAACATATAGCCCGCCAGGAGGTCAAAGTGGTTGACGTAATTATTTACCACTTTCATCAGCAGATTGACAAATAACAACAAGCAGATTCAGGTCGTCGGCACTATCAACCGCAATACTATGATGGCTCACGTGGTTCCAATCGATATCTCGCTTTTACGGCACGAGCTGCAAGAGTCCTTGAATGATTGTTTGCAGAAGTGCCCACCGGCCGAGGAGCGCTGGATGAAATATCCCGATATATGTGAGGAGGACCATACTACTGGAAAATGGCAGCATAGCGATGTCGACTGTCTCGTGGGTCAAGAACCATTCGTACAATGCTCGGTAGCATCGGCAGAGTACTACCGTCGCCGTTTGAAGAATACCCAAGGTCTATGGTTCTTACAGGCATGCTGGTGTAATGCCTTGTTGGCGCGTCAGCAAAAATGCCTTAATCTGATGTTTGAGCCCGATCTAATCCGTCCGTATGGGTACGTGTGATCATCGTATTGTGTTGCTCTTGCATTAACCGAGCTAGTGATTTCAAACTCGAGCCCCAATACCGAAGTCAGCCACGTGATACGATCTTCCGGGGAGTCCACGTCACCGACCGATTATGCTTGCAGCGGATGACCGACATCATCGTCCTTTTGTCCGTGATCTTGGTGCTGATTACGACACTAACCGGGATTTTCTGTGGGGGGTGGGACACGGCTTTCGCAGCAGGAAGTCTATTTGCCACCTGGGCGTCATTGATACTAGGTGTTGTGTGCTACTTTAGCGTGCGGTAACCCTACCTCGAAATGGCCAGTGTCAAACCCAAGAGCAACTCACTGTCGCCCGGGATGACCCTGGCACCTGAACGCCGAGTCTTAGTCAATGATAACCCCGGCCAACTTATCTGAAATCTCTGAATTTCCAGCTAGCATGTGTTGGGATGGTTGCATTCTGGTCTTTTATGTTGATAAATTTGGGCGTTGATGAGGGTGGTGAGCTGTGTCGTGCACGTACATCTTGGTGTGGCGATATCGGTTCTGCGAAATCCTTAGCGTATGATGCATTACAGAGGACAGGTAACTGAGATTACATGGCAGCATGGCCACACTGTTATACACTCTCGCCTGGTACCCTTCCGAAGCGAAAACTCTACCTTTCACCTACTCAACGATCAATCGTCCTTAACTTGCCTTGAAACTCTGCTAGCATCGCAAAAATTAGGTACTCCGTCTCGTTGCTCAGCCTCTCTACACCAATGGTGGCTAGTGATTGAAGGAAAGGACAGAACTGGGTGGCCTGGCCCCAGGAGCTGGCCTGAGCCATTAGTGTAAGTGGTCCAGGCGAATGTTTTCGGTCATCCAGGGAAAAATTAGTCCACCAACCAAAGTCGCCTACCTCTATTGTCGAAAGGAGGCCTATATTAACTCAGATTGGCCAGCTCCTAAGGCCATCCCGCTTAGAATCGAGTACTGTCGCATTTTAAGCTAATCAAGTACCGAGTAACCCTGTTTTAGGATAGATCTCGGCATTAACCGAGCCTTCTCGGCAGGTAAAAGTGGGAAACTACATCCAAAAGCGGTGGCATCCGGTGCCAAATCTAGAGGATGATGTCGGCGCAACTTGTGTCGACCTACAAAGCAGGGACGGAAAACCAGAGGAAGATCGAAGCGTTCTATTCGCCAATTAGGTGCAAGGATGTACAATGGGCGGTCGATACCACGAGCAGCAGCTTCCAAGAATACAGCAGACCTTGAGACGGACGAGCTGCAATGCATCCCTTCAACCTTTCCAATAGCGTGTAACACATCAGCCTCGTTCCTGTAACTTTTGCATCAATTTGTGCACAAACGACCAAGGTCTGCAGATGTCTCGTATCCAGATTTTCAGGGACACAAGATCGGTTAACCAACGTCAAGATGAACCGAAAATTTTGGGCGGTGCCAAGCGCGACCTTGTTCGCCTTGTTCTTTGCCTAGTATGGGTACATCGGTCAAGGCTGAAAGCGGCTCTGAAAGGTTGGCCTCCCGTAGTTTCGCAAGATTGACTCGATGAACAGGTCATTCTCGCCACAGTTTTTCATCGGCCCATCTGCTGCTTCTTGCCGCACTGTAAGAAGACTCGCTTTCAGAAAGTCGGGAATGTCACTTTGTTTTTGGAACTTTTTCTTCTCTGCGTGGTCTTCGGGAACCACTCCGCTCAACAGCCTGAATATCACGCATCCGGCCGACCAGATGTCTACGAGGTGCGAGTACTCGGATGATTCAGCATCATCAGACCTACTCAGGCTGATTTCGGGCGCGATATATCCCTTTGTTCCTCCATATGTATCCACGACCGTGCGGGCCGTTACCCCTTGGAGAAGCCGAAATCCGCAAGTTTGATCCACCAACGAGGACCCTCCCTTTGGATTAAAATGTTCTAGGTAACGCTTAGCATCTTGACAGAGAGAGTGGTAGGTGTCATGCCAGGGTAAGACGAGTCCACGCACCTCAGGCTTCAGATCGCGGTGAATGAAATTGTCTTCATGCATATATTTCAGAGCCGTCAACATTTGGGAAGCAATCTCGATAACACCATCTTCTGCGAGCTTCCCACCGTGGTTCTCCACCCATTTCCCGAGATTTCCACGTGGAATATCCTCCATGACCAGTGTGACCTTGGCAAGGTTTGCAGATTCGTACCAGCCATGAAAATAAACGAAAAGCCCAGTATCCTGATACTTCGGCCTGCAATCAGCAAGGCTCTTTAGTCATCGACACGAGAAATTTCAGATGCTCACACGCAACTTTGAGAAGTGGATCAAAGCCCTTAGCTCTGGCTTTCACCCATCGTTTTGGGGGCCACCTCTCTGCCCCGACTGGATCTTTGCTCTGTCGATGACTTTGACCACTCTTGTGCCCTTGTCGTCGACCCTCTTATCTTCTTTCCATCTTTCTCGATACACAACACCATATGCGCCGAACCCCAAGTCATCTCTGTCGCGCCACCATTTTCTCTCCACTCGGGGGGTTTTGAGCCCCAAGTGGACTAGGTCAAGGACATTCACCAACTCACGATCATAAGGCTCGTCTGAAGTCGCGATGATCAGCTTCAGATTGTTCGCCTCCTCTTCAGCCTCGTCTTCGGCCACGTCGGTCATTAGTCTCAGGCCTGATGTCACTGGGCTTCGCCGAAGGAAGGCAAGGACACCGAAAAGCTTTCGAGGTGAGGTCCGCCATCTGGCACAGGACACTATTCCCAAACCGGATCTCAGGGGCTGGACTGGCGGGTAACTTGGAACGATTCTCCGCGCCCTTGCCTCCCAAAGTGACTGTCTGTTTTATTTTCAACTGCGGGGTAATTTCTGTGGCTTGAGTCTGGCCGCCTTGGGAGTGCACAATTTCTGCAGAGTTGGCGTGTCACGTCAGCTCCATCCACTCCCGTACATGAGAAATATGAGAACAATTGCTTAAGCTTGGGGCCAAGATACACGACTGTCCGAGATGGCCGGATCCAAGAAACCCAAAGACAGGACCAATGGATAGCGGGGCCGTTGAGGCTCAGCAGTGCCCCCGCTTTGTCCCCTTCCCTCTTTACCTACTCTCTCCGCTGCCCGGTGCCATAAGGGTGTTTTTGTCGCTCTGTGCAGGCTTTGGCGGAAACACTTTCCAGAGCTCCGGCCCGAAATGGATCCCGGAACTGCAATGGCAGTTCTTGCCACCGTCGACTTGGTCATCAAGTAAGGGCTCTTATCGTCTTCGCTATTAAAGATGTGTTCTGCTGCTCATCAATCTAGATAAGGAGAGAAAGTCGTGAATTGGTGTCAAGCCTACAGCCGCGCAGAAGAAGATCTGAGCGAACTTGTTGTTCGCCTCGAAAATCGGTGGTTCAAAGTTAAGATTCAGGTTGCATTCCTGAAAGAATGGAGAAAAGAGATGCCTCCGGATCTTCTTGTCATCGAGGCAAAGACAGTGAAAATCCTCGAGCAGAAATTGGAGAAGGCCGAATGGATTGTGAAGGGTCTGTTTCCCAAAGCGGAGCCCAAGCCTACAGAAGCAGAGGCTCAAGCTGCTGTGCCCAATCCTAGTGAGCTTCCTGCACTTAATACGCACTCTAGCTTGCTCTCGGTGGTCACAGCTGCCTTCAACCATATGGGCCCAAAGCCAAAGAAGCGTCTGCAAAAGAGGAGCAAAGCCAAGTACGCCTTCTACGAACAATCCTTAAATCGCCTGGTCGAGAGCATCAAAGATTGGCAGGGCGAGTTTGACCCAACGTGGTACCATATTCTAAGCCTCTGAGAGGAGAGTCTGAAGAGGAAGACGACCCTCCAATCTATCGCCCCACCCGTTAGCAATCTACCCGGAACACCAAGAATTGGAAGCACTGTAGCCCTTGTTGGTAGTCAGGAGGCTGCTCCAACGGCCGCTGCGAGTGTTACTGGGTCGGATACAGGTAGGGTTCTTCCTTCTGGCGCCGGTCAGGCAGGATTGGGACTACCTACTGGACAGATCGAGTTTCTGGAAGATCTACAGTCCATCACATCCGAGCGATGGCCAATCTTATTCTCTTCGGCCGTGGTCACGTTCCAAAATAACATGGAAAGGGTAGTGCAGAAGTCCTTACTTCTCGCGTTCCAACTTTCTCCACACAGTCGTGCTTGCATAAATCACCTCCGTCCTGGTAGCAAAAGGACAATTGTCCTCCAGGGGTCCTGCCGGCATAAGTCTGACTTCCGCACCCAATTTCTAGGCCGCATGACCATATTTAACCAAGTATGGCTCCTTAGCCAAATCGCTCAACAATCAAGGCTTGAAGTATCCACGCTGCCAGCACGCGGCAAGCCAATATCGACAATGAAAATCGCCTCCCGACGCTCCTGACCTGAATTTGAATCAGGTGTGGACCACTCCAGTGCCGTTGGTTTGATGGTTTGCGTCCTTCGATCCAGTCTCCGACAGTTGACTATGCATGCCGATGAAGGAAGACTACGTACAGTCAGCGTTATCGGGGAAAGTACAGTATCATCAATTGAACTGGTATCCTTTCACTACTATGGATAAGTCAACGCACCTAACTTCATGTATAGTCCGCATTTCGCATCCAGAAGTAGCGGCATCATGGGTGATTGGGATTGCCTCATCCAGGCAGTGACTTGGCCCGAAAAGTGGCCATGATGGGGCCGAACCAAGTGCAGGAGAAGAGAGAAGAGATAGGCAACAAACCGAGCGGCTAACTCGAGAAGGGCAAGAAGAAAGCCGTAGAAGCGAAGGTGGAAGGAGGGAAAATGACCAATGAATCAAGGTCACGATGAATAGGCCACAGTGGGCTTCTTTTCCTTGTATATCTTTGTTTCGATGATACCGTTTCTCAATCCCTGCCGTTGTTGATATAATTTCCTTCCCCATCCATCGATCTCAATCCCAGATCGATGCGCAGTAAGAGATTTCCCTCGTACGACAAACAAATCTACGCACTTGGACAGACTCTCTGCTAGGTTCATTCGCGAGAGATTCGTGAAATCTTCTTCTCATGCAGGTCCTTCTGGTTGCCAGTTCCCAGCTTTCCTACCACAAATGAAATAAAAGTTCAAGTATGTGTGCAGCCTCGGGTTAAGCAACTCACCCTTGACTTTACTAACGATATTCTTGGTCTCTTCCGCCGTATATTCCAATACCCTGGTGAATAAAGCGAGCGAGAGAGGCTCAACTGAGTCCAACCACTGCATAAGGGAATATTTTCCAAGTTCCTTAAACTTCCTTCCTCTGGCCCATGGTCCAGTAGGCACCTTGAAGATCTCTTCTTGAACATCCACGAAGCCTGCATCTTCCATATACTGCTTGAGAATATTGGCTGTAGTGAGATCCCTACCGAATCTTCTACTCGCTTCGGTCATTAGTGCTTGCCAATGTTTTAGGTTGGGTGCCTCATCCATGCTGCCATCGTAGTCATAGATGTGAAAATAGACTTCTTGGATTTCTAGCCAGCCGCCAGGCTTAAGATTATTAAATGACTGCGTGAATAACCCAGGCCAGTCTGCGATACTCCCGCAAAGCGCTCGACCGTGAATGTAGTCGAAATGCTCCATTTGAGAATAATTCCATTCACTCTCGATATCGTCCACGTAGAATTTGCAGTTAGGAGGGACCCAATTTGGTTGAATCGGGCTCAGATCAACACCAATCACGAGTGACTGCGGAAGGTCGTCTGCAAATTGAATAGACCACAGTCCGGTGCCGCAACCGAGATCTAAGACTCGCTGGGGTGATATCTGCTGCAACGGAGAACGAAATAAAGCGCCGTCGAGAACTAAGATGAAGATATGATGTAGCATACCGAGTCGACCTTGCTCTTGTTCGTCGTTGGGCAGATAGTACTGGCCTTCTCGGTATGCATGGTAGCGTCGACCGTTTTCGTATCGGTAATTTAGGACCGAGCTGGCCAAAGAAGCTGACATATTGCTATCGATTAGTTCACTATAGGCGGAGTCGGCGTCGTCGGAAACAGGCTCCAGAACATGTAACTATGGTTGACGTTGAGAACAGCAAGAAAACAAGTAAGGAGCACGTACATCTTCGGCCGACTCCGTGGCATCTGCCGGATGAGGTTCTGGATGAGACATGAGTACGGTTTCAAGTATGGGACACACAATATCCGATTGGTGTCCGAAGTGAGTGACCTGGTACAAATTTTCGCATGGAGGGGATCAAAAGAGCGACAATAAGTTAGCAGTGATGGGAAAAGAGTGCGGGATGATGTGCAACATGCTCGGGGTGGCATGGAAATCAAAAACCACTGCTGCTTGCATCAGGAATGATTAGGTGTGGACATGTGACGAAGTCGGAACTGGAAAGCTTAGCCGGTTGCAAGACGCCAGCTTGGGAAGTGTATGACTTTAAAAAGTTTCAGCTGGATTGGTCCCAAGGAGTCGCCTAAACCCCTGCTGAAAATCTAGGCGACGGATGGGGAAGCACTCCTAGTTAGCATCGTCGGGAATTAACAACGCGCAGCGCTTGCAGCAGTTAGCAACAGCCACAACCAAAAACGACCCTCCGACAAGGGCTCAATTGTAGGCTCAGCCTAGGCAAGGCAAAATTTACCATCTCGGAGTAGTTGGCGCTCTCCAACGGACAACCCTGGTTACCCCAAGACCTTCAACCAGTGCGGTCATTGACCGGACCATGTCCTGGTTGTGGTGCTAGTGGGTGGGCTGAGTCCAGATGGTGGAGTATGCGTAATACAGGTCAATCCCTTAGAGAGGTGGGTATTCGAACACGTCATGTCTCGTTGTCTGTATGCAACTGAACGAGCGTTTGCAGTATCAAAGGTCTATTATTGCTACTATACCGAGGTGTGCACCAAAAAGAGTGTCGCTGCCAAGTGCAACTAGTGTAAACGCCATGTTCGATAGCTCCTTGGCAGGTCCTTCATAGGCGGTGTAGTACTAATTTACTACTAGAGACGCTATCTGGTACTTTGATCTCGCTGTCGCGGTATCAGTGAGGTCATCGCACACACGCACTCGACACACTCGACGCACTCATTGAACTCATTAAACTCACGCACTCAACGCAGTTAAAATTACTCATTACCGTTAAACCGAGTCATCAAATCATGCCTTTTTGCCTCTTTGACAGCGACAGCGAGGTCATTCCCTCCTAATTTAGCGGCGTTAACCTCTCTCATCCTGCTCCTCCTCATCCTCCTCATCCTCATTCAATTCATCGTCAGTGAGGAAAGCCTCATCCTCATCACCTTGCGCAGTCTCTACCACCGCGGTTTCCTCCTCCTCATCAATGATAAAAGAGTGTTTAAAGAGTTCACCAATACGCCGTCGACCCTTATAAGACCTCCTTGTCTGGCGACCTTCCTGGTACTCATTCCCTCCTTCAAGAGTAATAACCTTTTTGATGTTTTCTACAACTCCTTCTACCCACATTTGTATGTCCTCCTGTTTCAGGGCGCACCAACCTCGCTCCCACGCCTTAATCATGGCATTTTTTGAAGCTGGCGCGCCAGTCCTAGTGGTTACCTTCTTTAACCAGGGCCACGCCTTTTCTATCACATTTAAATCAGGTGAATTTCCTGGCCAAAGGAGCCTTGTGACGCCATTCAAAGAGTACACCTTGTCAATAAACCAATGCGCATGCGCGGGCGCGTTATCCTCTTGAACGAGGGTACCAGGATGCTCTCTCTCATGCTCCTGCGCAAAAGGAACGAGCTTTGCTTTTACAATTTCCTGCGGAAGGTTAGTACTAATTTCTTGAATTGATTGCTCGCTTTACTGACCTTTTGGTATAGATACCAGTTAATTCCACCCCGCGCCGACCGAGTTAATTTCCCTGTCTGTTTGTTAAATCGCCACTGCGCCTGTTTCCCTTTTCGTGGACGAAGTGAGAGTCGATTGAGGCCGTGGTTAAGCTCCCATTCCACTCTTTTTTCAGGTTCATAGAGATTATTCAGGTAACGAACTTCCAACTCGCTCTCGCGCCTCTCTTTAGCAATCTCAGGACGCCAAATATGGCAGGGACCTTTCTGGAACCAAGAGAATGAGCCCCAAAACATAAATTCAGTGAACCCTTTCCACCTATTACGGATAACTGACTTTTCAAAGGCCTCGTCACTCTTTCTCCATAGTCGAACTGAGCCGCGGCGCGTACCCAAAACGACACTGGTTTCGTCACTCCAGATCACCTTTTTCCAGTCCTCTAAAGTCCAGTCCTTATGCGCTATGCAAAACTCTAGGCGCGCCCTCTTTTGGGAGGAACTTAGGCCTGGTTTGCGGGTTGGTTTGACGGAGGAATAACCCTCTTGCTTGAGAATTCGCTGAACAGAAGACATTGAAACACCATTGCAATAGGCGATAACCTCACTTGATTGCTTACGAGAGCTCCTATCCTTAGTAACACTCTCCACAACCGCAGTTTTAACCTCATTACTGATCTCCTTTGGTCTTCCAGGAATCACAGCATCTTCTACGTACGAATGAAGGACCTTTTTACTCACTTCCGGCTTAAAACCTCTCTCCTTTGCCCTCTGCAAAATACGTTGACACTGCCTAAATGGCACGCCAATCCACTCCTGAATCTGTCGCGTCGAATGACCAAGTGAAAAAAAGGTAAGGACTTGAACCCTCTCTGCTAGGGTATATCGCTTGCCACGACTAGTTGTGAGTGATTGCTCCTCCGTGAGTGGCTGTGGAAGAGGAGGAATCGTCTTTCTACGCGGTCTGGCTGCCTCTCTAGCCTTTGCTTCCTCTGCTAACAAACTTGGTAGTGGCATCGCTCAAAGAAGAAGAATCCTGAAGGAAAGGAGAAAAAACTCACCCTCCTCAACACCAAACGGCGCTAAAATCCCCTCTTTATCCATCTCATCCTCCTCACATCGATTCATCATCAATTCAGCAAGTTTACTAGGTTTAGCAGTGATTGCAGGCACGTAAAAGAGCAGGATTACAAAAGAGGAGGTTTGAGTGTGATAAATGTGATAAAACAAGGATTTTGATGCTTTTTGGCAAGGTGCGAAGGTCGATATAACTCACCGACTATCTAAAGCTGCAAAGTACTACTGAATCGCCATACAAAACGGCAAAATCCCTACACCGCAAACTACGGATGACTCGGATTCCAGCGCCACTGCATTTAGTGCACATTAGCGGTATTTGCAACAACTTGGCAGCGACACTCCTTTTGGTGCCCACCTCGGTACACTTACGCGGTATTGTTGATGTCGAAGCCGAAGATCCTGTGGAACAATGATAGGTGCAGAGCATTAAGAATGACCTCCCGCGCTTTTTCAACTTCCCCCAACAAGGAAGAAGTTCTGGAAACGACCGGATATTCGACTCTCTTTAACTTGAGTCTTACTCCTGAATTAATCTTACCTTACCGTTTTAATCTATTGCCTTCTTAAGAAGTACAGAGAGCGAACCGCCCTGCACTTGCGGCAATAGCGCTCTACTATATGGTGCCAATTGCCTTTCTTCATCTGGGGGTGATAGGAAGCGGAAATCGTTTGACAGGAACTCAAGAGTGGAATGTCCGACTAATCTACAGAATGAGGGTTGTGAGTTGGGGTGGATTACGAGTTGGTATCGAGCGGCTTGCATTATGGCCTTAGCACCAAGTTTCTGTCGAGGTAGAGAAAAGAAAGTTTGTTGGGGAAGCCCAAAGACCCGGAATCATTTGAAGACACCACGCTTTCTATGGTGAACGCCCTCGATTCGGACGCCTTCTTGAACCTTCTGCCACATTTTGCGCCTGCGCCTACGCCTCCTCAGTTTCTATGGTCGACAAAGCGCCACATTTCGTGTATCGCACTCCCAGCCCGGGAACTAGCACAAAAGTGCAAGCACAGTACATACCGTATCTCTATAACGAAGAACAGCGGCAGCTTTCCGTAAAGAGTCGTGGTAACGTTTTATGACGATCAGGGGTAATTCCACGACGAGCAGTTTATTAGGTTTCAAAAAGAATAGTGGTAGCTTTCCACAAAGAGAAATAGTGACTTTCTACGAATAATACGGGTACTGTACTGTAACGTTAATTCCGGAAATTGAACAATTACTGCATTATCGATCCAATCTTTCCTTTGGTTCATGGCTTCTACTTGTCGCCTCGGCCTAATCTACACTGTCCGCCTTCACTTGAGTTGTTTAAAGTGATTACTTAATCTTATGACCATCATGGCGCATTTGCTTACCGTTTTCACATGCCTTCCACGTGACACAAATGAGGGGTCACTTCAGCTGAGGATTCAAAATACGAAAACTCGACTGTCGAGACCCGTTTCGCGGTTAGTTTTGAGCTGAACTTGTCGTTGCTCAGCTACTAGGCTGATTGAGCCAGAGCCATCGATTCGAACGGTCCGCACTGAAGGACTTGAGGAACATACAGCGATTGGCTCGAGATACAATCAACGCAGTTTTTGAAATCACCGGGGTAGTACTGCTGCCCACAGCCGGGGGCTCCAAGAACGGGCCGGGACTGCCACTAACCCTTAAACCTTACCACTACCCCTCTTCCCAAGACCAGTAGTAACCTGAGACGGTAGCTCGCTGGGGAGCAGCCTATTATTGATATGTTGCGTAATTGGCCATGGATTTCACGTCGGTACACATCAATCAAATCAATCTTGGCATCTGTGACCAGGCTTTCTATCCATAATCGTAAGGAATAAGTTAATTGTGACGGCTCGTACAAAACGTAGGGAATCCTACTTTGTAGACAGCTCTATTATTCAGGAGACTAAACTGAAGAGAAGGAGAGAAGAGGATCGCTGTCTTCGACAGCGATCTATGTACACAGATGCCATCGAAACGAGGCTGCGCTAGGATAGATTTGTAGGTGGCTGGGGATGCGCCAACGCGAGGCTGGGAGAGACCCCATAATGTCTCCAATAGTTCTCAATCGTCACATTAATCTATATGGAATTTTCCATACTCCATAATCCATATCCATACGAGAATGCTCTATTCCATAAGTATGGAAATACTCCGGAACAATGTTATCCCGATACGCCTTGGCAGGCTGAGTAACTTCAGGCGCTGGAATGAAGCTATTCTCGACACCTCTAGCGCGGACTCTCGATCGGAACCGGCAGGATGCCCTTCTCACTGCCCCTGAAGGACTATGACGCGTCTAGCACCCGCGAATTATCTGTGCTCTCGACTGTAGAGCCCAGCTCCTCCACCTCGACTCCCCCGAACCCATCCTTCAGCAGCCACGGAAATCGAAAGCGCAAGACAACCGCAAACACCTGGGTTCATGCACGAGATCCCAAGGATTCAGAGCCTCCTCGCTGCGTACGAAAGAATGAAAAGATATACTATTGTAAGTATTGTGTTGGTCCAACCTATTCGACTACGGTATCAACGACTTTTCGCCATCACCTACTCAACACTCACGGTATTGAACTTGATACCAATGAACATCCAATCAAAAAGCAGCGTGACAGCCTGATCAAGGACGCATTTGCTAAAGCGGGTGCGGTCAATAGCACGAAGCAGTCAATCAAGGAGGAAGTGACACCAGTTCCAGGACCGTCAGCCCACATTCTCCGGCAGTGTTGTCTTCTCGAAACAGCATCGAGCTTCTTCCAAGTCCACGAACTTTTATCACAACGTCTTGCTTTCGGCTGCAACCACAGGAATAGATCAAAGTAACCCTTCAACGCGATGACCAACAACGCAATTACCTGAATGCACTCCATAAAGAACTGACAAGGCCCAGAGCGAACGCAGGTGTCCATCGCCATGGGCCTGTCGTCGCGAATGGTGCCGTACTTAAAGAGAAGATCATCCTGGAAACATTACCTCTAGCCAGGGTTCAATGCATAATCTCGGGCCTTCAAATGATACAATTTGGGTGTCATCGCAATGTCAATTATCACATGCCGATACAGAGAGTCACGTTCCTACTGTGAAAGCGCAGTATGTTTTAGACCGCTCAGAACACGGAAGCTTTCGTGTCAAAGGACGTGGAAGAGGACTTCTGGCTTGGCACTTGCTGAACCGCGTCGACCACATTGTGGTCTCCGGCCAAGAGTATGCAGCTGGGGTGTACGCATACGTCCGTTTGGCCAATCCCGCGAGGCTTGAGCCCGCCTTATTACTTGAAATAAGGGCATCGGAAAATGCGCGTCCGTTTGTTTTACTCGCATGGCTTTACGTGCGGTTTGACGCAGAGACGGTGTTGGATATGGACGACGTTGGGTGTGAAAGCTTGAAAGAGATCATGCCCAGCACGCACCTGCAGATTGTTGATTGCGACACTTTGGATGGTGTTCTGAACAGGACCCGCCTCCCACAGTGGACTCATGTCCTCGATATCCGACCCGACTGTGCTGCACTCTGGCCTTGCTCTGAACCAAATATCAGCTGGCTATCTGCAGTGTTCCAGGTAGGATCTGCCGCTCGATTCCATTGGATGGAAGCAGCGCATCATCGTCGATGGGGAAAACGTCGTTTCAAGGAAGCACTGTCTATCCTGGAAATTCCCCAGGCGGGAGCAGAAATACACAAGTTGGTGTCGGTCACTGATATTGGCGCAAGTGGACTTGTACGCCTGCAGCCATCCGTTCGTTTTCTTGTCTGACGGTTGTTAGGCAAACATCGGCTCGTGCCCAAACTCACCACTCGTTACAATGCAGGCAAGCACTGCTATCACCCTTAGCGAGAGAGCGTACCGAGCTACCCGACGTAGTGCTCCGCTGATAGGCACTGAAACTTATGGTCAGTTTAAGTCCATATAGTCCAGAGCCCCTCATATCTCTTAAAACTCCCCCTCAAGGCCTGCTACGATTTTGATCCGTTGGGATAGATCACAGACTGATATTTGACAGTCTACGAGCTTCGTTGCAAGCTGGAACGAAGGCTACCACGCAATCGTCGCATTGAGCCAACTGAGCTAGCAAAAGCCATGCGTTCGCTCTCAAGACTCGAGGCTTTGAAGGAGGTCGACACTCGTGTGGTCCAACGGACACGAATTGGTAAATCATTGAGGTCTTTCGTCGAGCGCGCGGATTCTCACAACGCCGACTGGTCTCAATTCCGTCAGCGATGTCAGGACTTGCTAGGAAAATGGCGTAACGCCAGACTACAGCGGCGCAAATGCTGCCTCCAGCTCTGTTGAAGTTGAGGACCATCGTAAACGTCTAGAGGGGAAGGCGCTCTCAGCATCCAGTGGCGGCAGGGCAGAGTAAGGATGTTACGGTCAGATGAGGGGCATGGTAAGAAAACGTGGAGGGTTTCTAACGCCCCAGAAGGCTGGCTCACCAGGGCCCGAGACTCAATATGTTGCACTCCCTGCCTCTGTTTGCTGCGCATTGATGCACAAACGGGAGAGTGAGAAGGTGCGGGTTACTAACGCGATGCAAAAAGATAAACCTGCATAGATCTCAGGGACCTAACCCAAGTGGAAACATGAGGTGATTCAAAGCCATTAAACATTCCAAGCAGCAGTCATTGATATAATCACATGACTTAACGTTCAAGAGAACCGTGGAATGCCACATCCCAAGTCGCACCTCCTGCACAGCACACTCCTTCGACTTCAGATCGGGCCAAACGCTTATCGGACTATACTAGCCGAAGCACTCGATGCCTAACAGAAACAATGCTCCTTTTCGCACCCTCCAGCATCAACAGCCCTCCTGGATCGAGTCTAAGACGCCGGTTATTGCTTCTTTCCACATCGATTTCCAGCTCTCCACCGCGGTCCGTGCAGCAGGAGATGTCGGTTGAACATGACTTGGCGATGAGATGGAAAGAACTTCGAGTGGTGGGATTCGCCGTTGGGCTGTGGCTGAAAGGGACCAGCCATAGATGGAGGCGACTCGTGAAGCTGTGGTCGACTTCGTCGAACAGACGAGTGCTCTGCACCACCAATTGTATTCTTGGAGAAACTACTGTTATAAAAATTGTTGGAGCAATTTTGGCCATCTCTCCGCTGGCCGTAAACATTTCAGTATCACACGAATCAGCCATTTCGCTTCGATGCTGTGGAGTCGTCGAAAATTCCTTATTATTTCATCATTCGGATCTCTAAGGGCCTCTCCCGCGATGACTTGAAGCCTAAGAGCAGAGAATGGATATGTCACTGCCAGTCAGTCTAGCGTGTGGTCCACATTCACGACAGACAACGAATGAGTATATTCTTGGCCATTGTCGGTCGCCGTAAGGACCCGTTCGGCTGCGGAAGCAAAGTCCATCCGCCTAACAGGATTCTGCAGCTGCAAAAGAGAGAGGAAATCACCCGAGGAGTGTGTCAGACGGCATTTTAAGCAAGGAGAAGAGTGAATATGCTTCGGGTTAGCGGGCAACTCTGAGGCTGAATGTGTTGCTGAACAACAAGTGCCGAGTGTAGCACACGACTTTGGTTCCCGATCCAAAAATGGCTAGATACACATTCCCCACGGAGATTACCATAGTGTGTAGACACAGAAAACTTATAGGGAAACCCTGAACCAGATAATTGGACGACTGTAGATAGGGATTCAGCCCTTTATAGAAGCCACTGGCATGACCGGGCGCCCACACCAGAGGATCTGGTGGACGTCAAATTACCTAAATGTGTGATCAATGTGTCTGCGGGGATAGCAAAATGCTTGGGGTAGCTCGGAGGCATCGAAGGCATGTTCCCCGAAATCTTGGAAAGCACTTGGCATCATGTTAGACGAACGGCTACTACTTTTAGAAATTCTCATCTGAACTTGATATGAACCCGTACTAGCCGGACCATGAATGATCAGAATGTTTTGCTTGGCAAGATCCGACGCCACGCACCCCTTGTCGTTTTCTCACAATGACCACATAGTTTGATTTGCTAGTGTTAATCCACGTTCTTAATTTGATGCTTACTGTTTCGGCAAAATTTGGTAAGGTTGTGACTCGTAACCGGGTAACGGTCTTCCGTCCACTTAGGGAGCATCCAAGTTCCTTTCGTCATTCTTAGGTTAACCAACATCAGCACAAAAATTCGACTTACTAAATTTTGGGAATGTAATGTGAGCTTTTGGTTGCGAACGGTACCTTTGAGCCTCCTCCTTATGCGTCCTGTTCAACCTTCTTCCAATATCAAGGCCTCCCAAGCGCATTAGCTGCGGGTCTAACACAGGCTCCTTAGGCTGCTTGAGTCGATGGTGGGAAGAAGAGGCAACCGTGGTAAGGTCCACTGATAATCTTCGCATATTCCCAAATATTGGGTCACAACATGGGGTGTGGAGTAAGCAGACAGGAGCGCCCAGAGCAGGAAAGGAATGCCCAAATTGAAGCACAATTAAAGTGCGACTGGGCGCTGCAGAATAGGGAACTGAAAGTGCTTATGCTTGGTGAGTGTTCCCAACAGCCTATATGTATTTAGCCTTTGACAATATAGGTGCTGGTGACTCTGGCAAATCTACAGTCATGAAACAATTGAAACTCGTACGTGGTGGTGGATATTCCCACGATGAGCGCCTGATCTTCAAGCCCATTATCCTTGAGAACATTGTCAGATCCATGCGGAGCATTCTGGAAGCCATGGCCGTGTTTGAGATATCCGTGGATAATTCGGCAGCTGCCCAATATTCCCACGTGATTTTCATGCAAGGACAACGGTCTTATCTTAAAGACGGCATGCCCCACGAGGTACATATGGCTCTGAAATCTCTGTGGAACGACGCAGGTGTGCAACAATGCTATGCGCGGTGCAGTGAATATCAGGTCATGGACACCGCCGGATAGTAAGTACCTTGGGTCAATATGATTATGAGACTAAAAGTATCAGCTATTTTGACGAGATTGACCGCTTCGCCGACCGCCACTTCTTACCGAACGATGAAGACATCGTCAGGTCTCGCCTTAAGACTACAGGAATAAATGAGTTCCATTTTACCGCTGACAGCCTCACGTACCGTATCGTCGACATTGGGGGACAGCGATCGGAGAGAAAGAAGTGGGTGCATTGTTTTGAAGACGTGAAATTGGTTCTATTCCTTGTTGCAATTTCAGAGTACGACCAGTGCTTGTACGAAGACCCTACAGTGAATCGTATGCAAGAAGCATTGGATCTGTTCAAAGATACTTGTGAATCACGTTGGTTGAAGCAGGCGGCAATCCAACTTGTTTTCAACAAGACAGATATCTTTAGGGAGAAGTTATTTTCTAGTCCTTTACAGAACTATTTTCCAGATTATGAAGGTACGTCGTTGATTCCTCTACCAGCTAGGGTCATTGCTGAACAACTAGGTGGCTCGAACTACACCAGGGCTTGTCACTATTTGTCGAACAAGTTTACGTCACTTAGCGAGAGAGAGCTCGTGACCCATTTTATTTGTGCCACAGATACTTCCCAGGTCGGTACCATGATCCAAACGCTCTTGAGTAAACGAGAGCGGTACCACTAGACTCTATGTGTCGGCTAGCATCATGATCGAGAAATCAATGGAGTGAAATGTAGTTTGGTCGCCTGTGAAGTGGCTAACGGTCAGAGAGTCAACAGCATAATGCCGGGGTTGTGAATTTGCCGAAGCATGGTGAAGGCTAAGGACCACAATGCGAAACTTTTCCGCGGCTGGTGCTTCTCTAATGGGTGCAGGAGATGGGTTGCGCCAACTGGTGCCTAGATTTGGGGACAAGCCTGCACATTACAACTTCGAACCTCAGTCGTCAGGTTTTGAAGTGATGTTCGTAGTTGCTTTAGACGAAAAGGAGTATATCAGTCAAGCCACACAACCACACACAACCACACCACACAACCACACCACACAGCCACACCACACAACCATACTGAATATTGCACATTATTCTGGCTACTCAACAAGGGCAGCCACATTCATGACATCGCGTGCCTGGAATCACCCAAACTGCTGCAACCAAGAAGCGTGCACAGAGGAAGAACATCTCGAGCAGCCCGTTCCAGTACAGGTTCTGGCTCAGGTCCTGCCAGTTGACTGCGGCAGCTACGGCGTGTAGCGTCTGGTCGATGGTGTCACTGGCCATGGCATCCCCCACTGCAAAACACGACTCGTCAGTGCTACGGAGGTATCGACCGTAGGACGTGCTGGCTGTGCAGCGCTTCTCATCGACCACACTGGGCAAGCATCATTTGATTTCAAGGCGTTACTGAAACATGCAAAAAGATAACTACCAAGTTATGCGGTTCTGGTCTTTCTGGGATTGGTCAAGGAAATGCCACATATTCACAACAACAAGCAAAACAAGGGTTTATTAAGACAGGAAGGTATAAACCCGACAGAGGCTCAGAATTACCGATGTGCTGTTATGGCTTGGACCTGACAGAGAATGCTATATTCGCTTCAGGAACGAGAACTGGGAATCCTTAAATCGAGGGATGGCAAGATTATAGGTCAATTTGCGATGAATTGGTTTGGTGGCCACTCAAGCCTTCATTCAGCCGTGCCATAAGATCGGAATGCAGCGAGACTATGACGGCGTGTCTGAAGATGTCAAGGCCATTGCGACTTCTTTGTCTAAAGTAGCAAACTGATCGTCAATCAGACAGTCTGATCTAACATTTCAGGATGTCTTTCGCCACCAACAAACGACAGGCTATCCGATGTACTGGTCCAAGCTCTTCAAAAAGCCTTTTCGACAGTGCCAGGCTCCCGCCCGGATAAGCAATCTCTTCTCTGGCAATCAATATTCTCATCTAATAAACACCCCCCGACAGTACACGCTAGAGGAATCCTCCTTAACACCTTACTTCGATTTTTCTTCGTACTTCGCGCGCTTGAGCCATCATCTCCTCGTGGTCACATCTCAGCTTCGAACTTTTATTGCAGGATCTGGAGGTGAACGGTCGGTCTCCCATGAGCTAAGGGAGACTCTAGACTTCATCTGGTAATCACTAGCTACCTGTGGTTCAGGACACCAGTTTAACTCTGACAACGCCCGTTCATTTGTGCTTTCGTCTACTAGCCTTGTGGGGTTATGGCGATTTGCCTCCTCTTGCCTTCGATCACTTTACATGTAAGCCGTCCTCCTCAAACTGCTGGGCCCCTTCGGTGGGAAGTTTCCAGGCCACACGGTCCTTGGTAAATTGCTCCATTGTGGGTTTCAACTTGGTCTCATGCAGAGAGAAATCGTCCACGCTGCCTACCCGCAGGATACTCACGCCCGGAAAAGCCGCGCCGACCCGATACATGAGCGAGCCGCACGTGGAACAGAAGTAGTTGGTCATGGTATTGTCCTGGCCCGAGATTTTTACGAAAACAGTGTGCGATTGACCAAAGGTCTTCAGATTGTCGCGACCGCGCAGGTGCTTCAGGTGCGTGTCGTAGACGGTGAAGTTGGTCGCGTGTACGGACGCGGTGAGTTTGTGGCAGTCGGAGCAGTTGCAGACAAAGGAACCGACAAAACCAGGGCCATGAGTTGGCTGGGAATTTGGAGGTGGTATTAGCGCAGACCAGATAGAGGGTCAGACTCGAAAGATGGGTATGGTAGACTTGGATGCTGAAACTTACGAACGAGAGTTGCACGGCGCCACAAAAGCAGGTGGCCGTCGCTTCATCTTCGGTCGACCAGCCATCATTGGCCAAGCCTGCCACAGGGAAATATGGTTTGGTTTTGTCGACGATGGTGTTGGTGGGCATGTTTGCGATTTGTATATGGACGTCAAGATTGATGTAGTATTCGGAGATGTTAATTTAGTGATAACCCGATGGGCAGGATGCTAGTGACAGGGTTAGTGGTGGTTTTAGTGTTGGTGTTGGAGACACACTTTTATATAGGGGCGATGTCAGGGACTCAGATTATCTCCATTCATCATTTCACATTCAAGCCGATGCACCAGACGGTACCTTAGACCGTTGGCCAACTGGAGAGCAGCTTAGTGAGTGCAGCGCCGTAGTTGAGTCACCGACCGGACCGGACGCAATGCTGTTTTAGGTCTAGTCTTTAAGTATTCCTACATACTGTCCTTCTGAATACAAAATCTTATACCCATATCCACAGGAAGTCCTGCCCGCGAGCTTGGTGCGAAGTACAGCCCCACCAAATTACCGACTCTTACAAACCAGGCCGGACGCAATGCTGTTTTAGGTCTAGTCATCAATACCACTAACTTCCAGGGATCCTCACGACCTTGGTATATCTTATCTCTCAAATGACGTAAGTGCAAATTCGTCTACCACGCCCACATGTGTCAAGTCACTTGACACCTATTTAAGAATTCTCAATTGCTAGTAAAGAGCAAGCGCAGAGCCACGCAAGTTTCCTTGTATTCATTAGCAGAAAACCCAGACCACCGCGTACCATGGCCGCGAGACTAACAATTGGGAAGAGGATTTCTATCCTGAATCTTCCTTAGGATAACTGAAAAAGGTTTAGCCTGAATTAAAAACTTGGTAATCTGGGATATAGATCGTTCAAGAATTAATCCCATGAATGAGGAGCGCAGGTGGGGGGGAAAGAGTACTTGGACGCGTTGGGGTATACTTAAGTACAACTTCGAGATCTGATTTCAACTATTCAATCATTCTATAAAGCTTAGCAAGAGTGTGAGACACGCGGTATAAATTCGCTGTATTAACACAGTCTATAACGGTCGTTGATCCATTTCGTGACTTCTGAAGCGGTCTGCTTATGCTCAAGTGATGTGAACCGGGCCTTTTGGATCACCCACATCGAGCAAAGACAGTACAACCTCCCCACCATCTTTCCATGCGGAAGTGAACGCGGATGCGGGTCATATCTGCGTGTAAATCCCAAGAGTAGAGGGATTGACCACATAATCACAGAAGAAAGCTTGTCGACGGCTTCCTGCTCCGTATGAATTCGTTCCATATTCTCCCGAACTGGTTCGTGCCCATGTATTGTGGCACCGTAGTTGATCACATCGACCAACGACTCCCGTAGAACGATCTGGCTTGCAGCATGAAAGTTCCACAAGCATCCCAACCAAAGGTTGTGGTAACTGAGCATACGTGGATATGGAAAATGGGGAATAGGAAGGTCAAATGGCTCATCCATCTCACGAGGTTGCGCAATTTGCTGTGGATCCGTCACCTCTGGCTTCCACAACCCTGTCATCGCCGAAGTCCAGCTCTCGATAGAAGCAAGCAGGTCTTGGATTGAGCGCGCCAGCTGTCTTGACTGTTCTGCCTTTTCCTCTAAAGTGTTCCTGGCCTCCTCGCCGCTCTCCGTCAGCTTCTTAGCCGCAGCAGAGAGAATGTTCATATGGAGAACATCAGCAGTAATATGGATGTCAGGCTGATCAACGTTCAGCTTGCTCACCCACATTATCTGCCCCGGATCGGGTTCTTCACGAAGCAGGATTTGCCGAGCTTGGAGGCGTTTATGTGCTAGACACCCCAGAGCGAAGCTAGATTGATTGAAGAGATAGTCGTTACCCCCGCTATGAAGGATGTGTTTGATAGCGTCTCTATGAGGTCCAAGCGGTCCAATCCGTGAAAGATACATCTTCTATAATGGTTAAGAGTCAGTAGGTGCCAGAATTTATGGAAACAGCATGGTACTACGGTACCTCGAAGTTATCAATCAGTAGGATGGCAGCCAGAACTTGGTCATTGGCCAGTGTGTGCTCCTCATGCGCGACCACTCTCAGGCCGTTCAAAGCAGCACCGTAATACTGTCGTGCCCTAATCTGGAAAGGAATATCTCCGACGCTCTCATACCTCATGTCGGCACAGGCCACAGCTCGGACGGCTAGCCAAAGGACCGACCCGGGAAGGGCACTGAGGTAGAGTGGGTAAAGGTCGTGCATATGTCCGGGAACTACTCCGTCGTTGCCCGGATACAAGGTCCAGTTGACGAAGAACCGAGCAACAGCCCGAGTCTCAATATCTCTTTTCAGAGGGCCCGGTACCTCAGCGAGTGCCCGGTCACTAAGCCATGGATACTGTAATAGCAGACCTGGCTCGGAGGCGTATGTTGATGCTTGTGGGTGCTGTTCCTGGAGTACCTGAGACGGTAGGACATCGAACGACATTGCAGGCGCCTTACCCTCTCTCACTTCCCTCCTTGCTCGTTCCGAGTTCTTCTGCGACGCTTCGTTTTCGTCCCGAAACATGAAGTCAGTGTCTGCCGGAAAGCCTGAACAAGTCAGGCGTCGCTGCGTGCAGCGGCCACAAATGGGACGAACACGATCACACTGCAGCCAACTTCAGCATGAATAGAGACTTGTCGATCGAATGGCATACCTTCGCCTTTGCGACCCTGCATGGCAAGCAGGAACGAACAACACTCATACTGTCTGCACCTTCAACATAGGCCGCATAGGTTCGCCGCCGCTGTCGGAGCAATACGTCTAGGTGGCCTGGACGTCGGTAGACTCTGCGATGAGCTGCTAGAAATCTATACGAGAAAATATTACGCTGAGACGTCACCAATTGCAATTCAGGACTCTCAACCCTGAGACATAAGCTGCCACCACCTTTTACGTTTTGTCCCTTGAACCCTACGTGTTGCAGGCTTGGCAGTCAGAAATGCACTTCAGGAATTGTCCAATTGTCTCTGTTTTCTCTACTCATGGAGTCTGTTCTTTCTCCTATATAAATTAAGCGTAGGGAAGATCTAGAATGGCTTTTTCCGCATCTCCTGAAGCCCTTGTTGAGCTGTAATAATTGGTGGAAGACCCTGTCCTGCTGATGTTTTGGTCCTTGTTCAGCTGACAACTGCGCTAGTGGTAAATTGCAGTACGGTGAATCACAACGGCAGAGTATAGAGGTCTTGGCAGCAAAACTACCTTCACCAAGGCCTAGTCACGGGATATGGCAACACGTGATAAACTCATACTTTCAGCCCATCTCTGGTAAGCCACTGCCCATCAGGACGTCCTAATAACTATTTAGTCAGCCACGAACAGCCAGGCGTTGTTAGCCCAAACTCACTGGTGGACGTCTCGGCAGACATGCTGGGGTACCTAAAGTGTCCGCCATCTGGCACCCAAGCGTCCAGTAATCAAAGAGATTCATTCTGAATTTTTGGCTCCTTCAAAGAGACATCACTTGGTATAGTGGTGAGTTGTCTACGCACATTTTCTGTACAGTATTTTGCGTGAGGCTGTCCAACTTGAGTGTTGGTCCATTCCTGATGAGGGCTATTAGAAAGAGAAACCCGATACTCAGTTTCTTGATGATGTGTTCTTTGCAAGCCTCTTAATCACCTGACATCGCAGGCTGCCCTCCAAAGAGGAAACTTGCTACACCAGAAGTGGTAACCGTTCAGTCTTTGGTTCTATCATGGAGCCTGGTTGCCGACTTGAAAAACGGGGACCCATCCAGTAAGTTTGTGAGATGAACTTTAACTTTAGACCCAGCGAGGCAGATACGACCAACGGCTCACGAACTAATTTTTCACGGAGGTGATTACTTCAGCCAGGCAATCTTTCTCTCTACGTTGATATAAATTACACTGCCCCTTTCATCTTTATTTCGAGACAGAAGCCATTTTCATCCAAATTGTCATCCCTCTGCCTTAACTTTCAAGCGTTAACAACCAACAATGTCTCAGCCTACCCGCCTAATATGTATCGGAGCACACCGCTCCCTGGCACTCAAACTCCAGCCAAGTCTCTCCCCGCACGTCAGCTACATCGCCATCCTGACCAAGATCGAACCAAGCAAAACCTACTCTCCAGAGAATCTAGCACTGTTGCTTGATGCGCTCCACCCATCCCCAGACGGGGTGATTGTTGGTGGCGGCTTCGGCGATGAGGAGGTCGATGAGATGATGAAGGTCATCGCCCTGAAAAAACGAGAGGACGGTACCTCGTTCAAGTTCATCAGGGTCCCAGTGGGTACGATCGAGGCCAGCGGACCCGAGGGTCTCGTGAACAAAGTTAAGGAGCTCCTCGCAGATGCTTTTGCAGTCCAGTGGTAGTGGGAGGGTTTTCGTTTGGACATTGGCGGAGTCTGAGATTTGAGCTCAGGGAACTCCGCAAGCAGAAATGCAGGGCGCGGTTCGGTGTCAGACGATTAATAGGTTCATGCCTGTACACAGTACACAGGCGGTCGACCGGGAATGTTTGAAGCCTCAGCAATTCTAATAAGCATTTGCGGCGCCGACAGCCCGACCCCTGGCCAAGCGACACACGTGATGTGACTGGTAGATCAAACAAGGGCGGTGATAAGTGGCAGAACTTCTCCACCATATTGCCTGCGCAAGGCAACTCAATCCAGCATGTGTTATTATCAAGCCAGAGTTGCATTTCTCTCAAGCTTGACGGATCAAACAGTCCCAAAAATGTCTACACGAGTTGCAGGAAGGTAGTGCTGCTGTGACAGCTACTTAGCTTGCAGTCTAAAATGATAAGCAGCTTTTTCTCTGGAAATTGAATGGTCGTCCAACTACTCAAACTCTCTTCCAGGCTAGTGCTCGGAATGCGCGAAGACATCATCTGGAGAAGCTCGATCACATCTTGGGCGCTCGAATCAGTGTGCAGATGACACAAAAGGCTGAGGGAACAAGGTCAACCATCGAAACTCTCCCCTAAAATGCGACACTCGTGCATGTGTGTAATGCAATCGAGGTCGCCCCTCGGCTCACATGTTCAGATGTGAGCCGATATAGTACCTTGGACACCAAGAGGCTGATTTGCGCCTATGCGTAGGCGGAAATCCCAGTCGATCATTCAGTCCTCCGCAAGTTGCCATTTGACGGCATACGCTTGCCCGTAGCTCATCAACTCCGCTTCCAACCGTAAGCTACGCAACCATTGCAACTGATAAGCAATGCTTATTCGTTTCCTCCACTGCTTCAAGCGTCTCAAGATTCCACATCCCTCAGTCCAAACCTGAGGTGCTCTTCGTAGAATCTCAGCATTGACCGGGGACAGTGTCGATGGACCTTATCCATACCGACACATGTCTGCTCACCATTCTCGAAGAGTATATAGGCGAGCAGTTTCCCGGATTCATCTCTCTCCACTGCTTCCACTTTGACTACTTGCGGCTCCCAGTCTTCCTTCAACGGCATCCACGCCGCTTCTTCCCGCCAGGTGGATGAAGCAGGAGCCAGGTTCTTCGTCTTCTGTCGTTTCAACACTGGAGCCTGGTACCCCTTTGCCTCGGATCTGAAACGCTTTGATTGTTTCGACTTTGACTTTTCGAGTGCATTCTCGTCAACTCCACCGATACTGGTATGATATTGTTGTATGATTTTGGGAGCGTACCTGGAAGAATAGTCAGTGAGGGAATGTGCTTGAGGAGAAAGTCTCTTACAGCATCAGGCTTGACTCTAGCTCTTCTGTGTTTTCTTTATCTGGACATCCTTGCCATTTTGTCTCATAGTAGACTGTACCACGGACAAACCGGTGACCACAGATTGCTTCGACACCGAATTCTCCTTCTGAATCTTGACCATCATCTTCGGAATCTTCATGTGCATCGACGTCTGTGGTTGCTCCACGCGCAGCTTCCCCAGCGACCCTTTCAAGGTCATTGTCTGGTTCCTCGTTCGTTGGGGGGTTACCATCCGGACCGGCTTGGGGAAGGTCACTATCAACAGAATTATCGAGATTGCTTCCAACCTTTGAAATAGATGTGACTGGTAGATAGTCAACGTTTGTTTGGCGACTGTGTGATACGGGACAACTTTGCAATCGGACTATGGAGGCGATACTTACCAGCGCGTCTAGTCATTTCGGAACAGTATATGAGAGAGTAATGAGGGAAGAAGCCGTAGTCGCAAGAACGGAACAAGTGCTCCCTCAATGTCGTGGTGGCGTAGAAGTGGACGCTTTTCCCGCGAACTGCACATACAGTACGCATCAGGAAAACAGCACAAAGCAATGTACGGCGTGATTCCTCCTCTTTTGACCATGTTGATGCGTCTCCAGCGCGGATGTGCCGGACTCCAGCACCACGAGAAGGTGCAATCTTATCGTTCAACAGGGTCCACCACCTTCAGTGGTCCTTTGCCCTGATTTCCATGACCATAGTGACCCAAAGTCGTCCGTGAAGCCGCTAAATGAGATGCTCATCTTGCGTAATTGCGAGGTTGAACAGTGGTGCAAGGAACATGGTACTGCTAACCACCAAAATCTTGGAGAGATGCAGGCAGCAAGACGCAAGAGACGGTCAGAGCCGGCATTCGAAATCCAGGGGGTCGACCACAGAAAACCGTGGTGCCTCCTATGACTATCAGGGTCAATGCGATCTCCCACTGACTTCCAGTTTTCTCTCTTCAAGCAGAGGCGAACTTGTAGTTGAGGAGTTAGGGGCATTCATAAGTCTTCCAGCAGCAATTTACGCAAAGAGATGCAATGGTTGACCGGATGCCTCTCATGCACCCAATGGCCTGAGACCAGCTCCCGTGCCATAACGGCCACGAATGCCATCCCCAGATTATCTGGAAAGCGGAGTTGATGAGCTACGGGCGAGCATATGTTGTCAAATGGTAGTTTGCAAGAGTGGCTGGATGATCGACCGGGGATTTCGCCTAGGCGCACGTTAGCCTTCTTGGCGACTTCAGGAGGTAACAACACTTTTAGCGTCATCGCCACGGAAGGTTAAGCGAGGCAAGCATAACCACTGGGGTTGATGCACTGGCGTTGATGAAGGGTGGCGCTGAGTCAGCCCAAAGACAGATAAATAGCTTCCGCGGAAATATTGATTTTTCCGATCCTTCTCTTTCTGTCTCTCCACATACGCTACGAACACCGGTGGACACCTCGACAATGGGGACCACATTCTCTTACCAATTCACATGTACAAGCGCTCAAACGACCACAAAATTCAGCTACCCTTATGTAGCCATCAACCCACATCCAGCACGAATGCTGATCCGTTTGTCAGTGAACAATTCCGAGTTTACCAACAACAGGGTAGTAAGCTGCGACATGAGACCAACATACTACAGCAGAAAACATGACATATCCTGGTAGCCACTTGTGGAAACCGAATAAGCTCAGAAGCCTGTTACAGTACCTGCCAATCCTAGCCACATATCCAGTCGCGCAGACATTCTGCTCACGAGTATTTCCGATTAAATGTACTACGGAGTCAGTCTTGTCAAAACGCTTGGCTGTTACTACAACGAGGGCTTCAACTACGACGAAGGCTTCGATTAAGTCTCAGTCGTCCGCGTGGTCTGAATGCCAGGCACAGCCACTCGCTGTGATCTCGACACTATGCTCTTGCATTGAACCACCAATTGTAAGTAGTATGAATGTATTATCTGGGCAGTGGATCTCACTACCCTCGAAAAGCCATGTTCGACATCGACATCGTCTACAACAACTACACCAATACTGATGAAATCTTCGACGACAACCACGACGACAACGACAACTACCACCACTACTATAACATCTTCTCCTCCAACTCCCACTAGTGACTGCATAAATTTCCGGCAATACCAAGCAGTTGAACTTTGCGGCTGCTCGTATTATACATTTTGTGCTCTCAACCCAATATATGATACCGGTACACTTACTTTAGGCACTTTCTCTTTGGTAGGCATAACCGAAAACCACGTCGACTATTGCCTTGACCGCTGTGATGAACTACTTAAACTGCTTCAGCCTTGTCGTGAACGTTGAGACAATGGCAACTCAGAAATACGCTCCGTACGATCGGATTGGGGCCCCTTGCCATCCCCGGTTACGATGAAGGTAGCTTTTGCGAAGAATGCTTGCCACACAGCGGTGGTAAGCAAATTCAGAAGATGGCCGTGAGAAAATGCCACTCTCCAGATGCAGCACCAAAATGTATCTAGTATTTGGAAACCTGGATTGCGCTTCCTGCTCCGTCGATCACAAGCCAAATGACAGTGACTGTCACCACCACACAGACGATCTCCAAATCGATCAAAGCTCCTGGGATTTCAATCTTGGCATCGATATTGCGTGAGTGAAGCAGAGGATCTCAACTACCTAGCTAACCGTGTCTGCTCGGGCCGGAGGTTTATACACTACCGGTTTGGCTCTGGCGCCTAATGTTGATGATGGTGATGATGATGGTGATGATGATGGTGATGATGATGGTGATGATGATGGATTTACTGTTGGGCAATCGACGACTTTGAGTCTCTTTGTTGGGTTAAGATGATGGAGGCACGAGACACCCGCTTCTTTGATGTAGAGTTGACTGCTGCATTATTCGTTTGCCAAACGTCAACTCTCCTCGCATTTTGTAGAACTTTATCGGACAAAATATCTGGTAGTTATCACTTCATGTTGGGACTGTTTCAGATTAAACCAAACAATCAGGTTTCGTATTGTGAAGCACCAATCAGGATACCTCTGAAGATATTTCCGAACCTGTTATACTAACCTAGCTTAGCGTTTTATAGCGTGCGTTCGCTAGAGCCAAAGACAAGAGTCCTCGAACTCTAATATTGTTCACCTGCGACGTAGATCATTCGCTATCTGCGGACAAGTCAGAATTTCCTGTTATAATATTCTACACCTCACATTAAATGGACAAGTTTGAAGCTCTCCATCGTCTGACTGCTCAAATTATTGAAGTTCCTAAGAATTGTTGGTCTGCCGCTAACGCTGGCCTTTTTTCTGACTCTTTTAGCTCATTACTGGCTCGGATCGTTTGGCCGGGTGGCTGGAAATACGGTGAGTGGTGTTGTCAGGTGCTGAAAACGTAGACGTGCAGTAAATGTTAGCCTGATTTGGAGAATAAGAAAGCACACCTCCACCGTCCTACTCGATATATCACAAGTTCGAATTGCAGATCCTAGGTTCAGTATCCTCCGCAATATACCGTACGGCAACCTATTCTGACGATGTCATTCCCTACATCACTTGAGAAGATTACTCTACGTGCGGGCGACGGTGTAAAGTATCCAACAGTGGAGATGAGGTGATTACAGAGCACACTGGTTGGATCTATGATGTAAACAGTGTGGATGAGTACCATCGGGGTAGAGAGTGAGCTCCAGTTCTACGACTTTATCAGAGGGTGAAATCATTTACTGTCAACCTAGATTTGACAGCACCACTAAAAGTGGGGATTTCAGGACGATCATTGGCGTCGGTAAAGTTATATCAGGTTCGTTTCGTCATCCAATCCTTCCCAACTATAATATGTTTTACTAACAGGTTTTGAGTAGGATGGGACAAAGGAATTCTTGGAATGTCCATCGGGGAGCAGGCTGTATTCTACATACCAGAGTAAGTGCGATATGTTAAACTAGAAGTTGTTGATCATCGTGGTAATTCTATCAGGGATATGGCATATGGTAACAGGTAGGTTTAGGCAGATGCCTGTTTCTTCTCTCATTTAACTACTCCAACGTGCATTTCCTACCAATTTGGATGAAAGCGGTTCTCTAACGTTCACTATATTCAGTGGATTTCCGGGACTTATTCCACCTAAAACTGCTTTGGTTTTGTGAGTACCAGTCCACCCGGTGGAGCAATTTGAAGCATCAAGACGCTACCGCCATGTCAAGGCTACAATCCCAAGAAACGAAGTTTGGCAGTACTGATCAATCTTGTTTTAGCATCGTTGACTTGAAGGCCATAATTAGTAGGAGCCACGTTAAGCCGTCGGTATGACTGTCTTCTGTGTGACGCAGGACTCTTCGCATTTTAGTTCCATGCTTTGTCTTCTACTAATTCGTTATTGCAAATGATGGAGTGTGACCCGCCGACACTACTTCTCTCCGCCTGACAACAACATCTATTGTCGTTTATTTCGACCTTCAAAAGAAACAGAAGTCAGAGGATTGTGGAAGGAAATCTGTTAGCATCTTGTAATAAGTACCTATCTCGCTGGCTCACTGGCGGGCTTGAGAGAAGATTCGGATTTTCCGAAATTGATGGTTCAACTGATCTCCGGCCTTGGAAAAACCGATGACTAATTTATATGTTTCCCAACGAGCCTGATCGTATACAGGTACCGCCTACTGTCCACGTCTCAAAACCGCTCGCACTGAACTCTGATATTTCAGGTCGATATGGGAATATATTTCGCTTCATGCTAAGTGGAGGTAGGAGATTCTGAAACACCTCGAACACATTCGGCAATTCTGGTACGATTTAGCGGATGGTGATATTAATGCTATGCCCAAAATTTAATGCACTTACAGTGAAAGTTCCTAGAGCTTAGGGTATTAGGGCTAACTCCTTCGGTGCAGAGGAGACCCAGCACCGGCTTGAAGCTGATAGCCAAATGCAAATATGATTGCTCAGCATGCAGCAACTCTTCAGCAGGACAGAGGTGCTTTCTTCTTTTACCACGCACAATTGGCACCGACGTTGCCAGATTTAAATGGCAACCCGGGTTGACAACAACGGCTGTCTACAAAGTGGACAGAGGAGCGAACATTTCCGACACCAAGCATCGATACAACGATGGTGAAACACATGTAAACACCTCAGCTCCCGTATCTTATGTCGAGCCAAAACATGATCCAGACAGATAGCACTAAATGGTCAGCTCAACTATCTATCACAAGGAACGAAGAACACATACCAGATGAGTTTGGGACAGCGACTCGCAGGTGTCAGCTTTTGTGATTCCAACCTCTGCCGCCTCCAGGACTCCGCGCTCAGTAACGGTGTGGTTTCATCGAGCTTTTGCAAGCTTACCCGCGGTGCTTGTATATCACTCCTATCAGTTATCGTGGTTGTGTCTCTCTCCCGTCGTCGAATATCTACATCAGTTGGTCCAAAGACCCTAAAGACGCATATTAGTATGATATCTTTGGTTCGTCCTCATTGAGACTTACATGGCCATTAAGGTTAGGAACACACAGATAATGAGCAGCGGCATAAAACGAATCCATTTTCCAGGAACGTTGGGAGACAGCGTGTCGTCGCCAGAGAATGGCTTGCCCAAGGAGTCTTGGAACTCCCAGGATCCATTTGAGAAATCCAGGGCCGGCATATTGGATTCGCACAATGCATGGTGACTAGAAGTAGTCGACGCTCCTCGTTTCTAGAGCCTGAAGTCTTCTTGTGTCTGAATGTATAGCTCACCATTACGGAACGGGGAGAACCTGGCTCACTTTATTGGGTTCTGGAGGCTATGGTGGCAAACCTGCAGCAGCTCATCCGGGAGATTTCTTTCCCCAGTTTGCCACATTATCGTGCATTGCCAAGATTGTTGCCTTGTGCCATGATGTGGCGTGGTATAGTCAAAGCTAATCCAGGTCACACAATTCTCACAGAAGATGGTTGAGGAATGAGGCCACTCTCTTGGGGAAAGGAGGACATTAAGTGCTCGGCCAGATCACCAATCAAGCCCATTGAGTGTAATACTATGGTTCAATTGTTAGGATACGGCTTAGAGCACAGCGCTCGCGAAATGGTAAAGAGATACTACTTATTCGAATCGCTCTAGCTGAGAGTCATACCGTTTTGGATGGCCCAAGTGCTTGAGATTAGTCTGGTTGCCGAGTGTGAATGCAGTGGTTGCTAATTAATGTCTCTCCCAGTTACGCTGGCGCAATTTTGGCACTCTTTTCTACAAAATACCATTTGTGCGTCAACCAGCCGAGGTCAGCGTTCTTGGCGTGGACCGCCTTGGCGTGATCGAATAGGCTTCCACCTAATGAGTATGTTTCAAATCAGATTGGTTCGATGGCGTTGCAACCTTCGCTACCCGCCACGACTTGACCTGCCCAGTCTCTTCGCATTATCACCCGGCCAATGAGCATAATTAGATGTCACCACAGCGGCGTTTCAATTCCAGGTGTACCGGAGATTTGGGAATCTGCTGGTACAGTAGGACTAAATGTGTGTGACACCTGTGGTGCTTCGCCACATGCGGAAGCACACTACAATATAGCAAGATTGTAGAAACTTACAGGCGCTTTTGTACAATATCACGATTGATAACAGCATGCAATTCACCCTCAAACTTTTTGTATCCTCTTCTACCCTTTTTTAAGTTTTTGAGAAGTAGAGGTTTTGATAGGAGTTTATCGAAATAATTAAAGCCCTCCTTTGTTCTCACGTTTGCCCAGGCGTAGGCTAGAAAGAGACGACCGTGGATTATCTAGGTTGCCAATCGATTGAAACCACACCGTCACATACCCACACAGTCACACAACCACACAGTCACACAACCACACAGTCACACAACCAACATGGTTAGTCAACCCTGAGCGATGCCGCCCTCTAAGCTTGTGGACTTCCTCCAGATCTTCGGTTTTCGATATGTAATGAGACTTTCTTGGCGTGCATGGGCCACAAAAGTCCGGGAACAGTATTGTGGCCCGTGCACGCCAAGAAACTGACTAGTAGTAACGACTTCTACAGGTAATTCAAGGTTCGGCCATGGTTACCTATTCACTCCGCATCAGCCCGGGACCCACGGCAGGACCGGCCCCGAGCACGCTAATAGCGCGGCGCTCTCTGGGCCAATTAACTATTCCTTAGCGCCGAGGCTTGAAATCGTGTGTCAACCTCTATCCCATGCAGACTCCGCCAATTCACTTACTGCACGCGAAGTATTGCATCGAAAACCTGCCACATCTCTCCTCTCAACATGAACAAGTGGTTTTCAGTCACCTTATTTCTGTCCAACAAACAGACCTGAATATCCGGTATTCCGAAATGCATGATTCCAAATTTACTGCGAATTCTCATTCGATACATAATCATGATGGGTCGACAGGAGGGATAAGAATCAAACACGCGTGAAAGTTGTGAGCAACCATTGAATTGCCTACGGGGAAACCTAAGGACGGATAGGCAGCAGTAGCTAGACCCCTTTAGGCTTAGTCTAGCCGTTTGTGAAAGCACGGGCCACAAAGCAGGCAGCCATTCCTTGTGGCCCGTGCACGCCCAAAATCTTTACCAAGTAACGATCCAATAGAGATTGATTTTGGCAAGCTTGTCCCAACCCCGGTGGTTTTTGCTTGTCTCGCCTCACCTTCCTTGATGATGACGCGAAAAGTGTACGTCATCTTGACTTTTCCCCCTGTGGAAAAGTCAAGATTTCGTCCCCTCTCGGAGAGCGGTCTAAAGGTACCTCGCAGATCTCCACGATTTCTTCGTCCAACCTTCGCAAGAATTCATACTATGGATTCAGCTACGTTCGTGAAAGACTTTGCATCATGTATCTCCTGCGAGAGGATTGTGATGTTCACAAAACCAAAGTTAGTCAACAACAATAAGAAGAAATCACAGAATGAGCCGACTTTTTATATCACTGTCTGCTACACCTGCGAAGTCGATGGCGCCACTGTTCCGCAACAAACTGGAAATGATTGGATGGGAGATACAGAACCAAGAATCTGCCTGAGTTCATCAGTACTAAGGACCTCCGTTAAGTTTAACGCTGTCGGCAAGATGGCTGAGCCCAACCTTCAACTGCACGAAGTCCACGGCCGCGTTCGTGCCCGACATCGCAACGATATCCTACACAGCTACGAACCGGGATGCAGAATAGTGTCGGTTAACGTGCACGAGCAGGTTGATTCAACAGCAGAGGAGTGTGCTCACCTTGAGACGGGATTCTTTTGAGACATGGTTCTGGCGCTCGGCCGAGCACAGACTTACGAAAAGACTGATGTCAGACAGTGAGGAAAGTCGCCACGGCTAATCCTCCGAGTTCTGAGTTTGGTATTTATCCTAGAACGTCTCATTTAATATTCAAGATATCATATAAAATGACCACGGCCGGACCTAAAATACCGGGTTGCACCCAATTTTTTTGAAAGAAGATCTAATCTTTGAGATATATATATCTAAAAACATTAGCTAATTTCAACAGGACCAAATCATACGAAATACTGTGCAACAACAACCTCAACCTTTCAACACCAATATGGAGAGACTTCAACACGATCATTCACCTCTAAAGAGAGGATTTCTCTTGGCCTTTCTACTGCTCTCACTATATCTGCCTCTAGTACAGGCTGGCGATGTTATGATAACGCTGTACCCGGGTAGCAGTCAATGTGTTAGCGGCACCGCGCAAATATCGATGTGGATAAGACAGAGCGAGGTCGAAGATACCTGCAACACATTGCCTTTGCCTATCAGAAGTGTATGGTTTGAGACCATTCGAGGCAGTTTTAACGACTTCGACATGTGGTTCATGCAGGATTGCAAGGCGATCAAGTCTGGAGACGTTGGGTTCTCCCCTGTGAAGCAGTACGTTGATAACTGTTACACGGCGGGCAAGCCAGCCAAGAAGATGATTGCGTTCAGAGACAATGCCAAAATGATGGGAGCCAACCAGACAAGGCTGAATGTGAGGACGCTCGAGAAACGGGTTACTAGATGGGGCCTGACACCGAAAAGTGCCAACTCTTGGGGTAAATTCTTTGCAGGAGGTGTATGGTACGTGGTTGGTGCAGTGGTCTACAACGATGCTGCATCTGATGGCGACTTATCAACATCTATGATATACGGTATGCGCGATACTTCCGAAAAGAACTATAACCCATCGGTACATACTGGATCATACCACATTGCGTATAACCAGGCGCCTTATCAAGTTGGACCAGAATTTAGCTGGCAAACGAGATCGAATATGCCGGTGAAAGTTGTGGAAATGGTACTGACGGCTATTGCGGACGGAATTGCACAATCCAATGCAGAAGGGACATGGGCATCATACGAAATGGTTATGTTGCACAAAATCGCATCGTTGGAGGACACAAGGCACATCAGCACGGAATACTTGGAAATGCAAGGACCAACCAAATAAAAGCCCAAGGATAGTGATGAAGTTGTAATAATAGCTGGCTACTACAAGACTAGAAAATATCTAACAGCTTATCCCGTGAGTGAATAGGTGGTCACGTTTTAGTCTTGGCACCCTCAACTTAAATCGCGTTTTCCTATAGGAGATAAACAAAGTCAAGTGCAAGTGATCGAAACTCGAGCTGTAAGTCCTCGTGCATCACTGGGTTTGAACTGGGTCACCCTGTGGCTTGCAGACATGTTTGAAGATATGCTTTTATTCGAAATACTTACCTAGGGAGTCCTTCTCCATCTTTCAAGCTTCGCACATTTGCGTCTGACTTGGACAAAAGATACATTTTGCATTCAGCCCACAGATATTTATCCCAACGAATCCATGAACAGTATCAAACACTGACAAGGTCAACCTAAAAATGCAGCAATGATGTCTAATCTTTGCTAAAATGCCATTGCTGGCCCTGGGCATCTGCATTGGTTGTACCGTGGTACTCTTCCGGTCAGAATTGACGAGCCTGGTCACGAAGGTAATGCCGAATATCTTCTGCTGGCTAAAGCATTGTGCTAGGGGACAAATTACAAGATGGTGATTTCCAAGATGTGATCATAGATGCGATCGTCGACAAATGTAAATCCGAAACGTCCGATGGAAGTGCATGGTTTCCTGTGGGTGCTGTGATTGGGCAAATTTATGACAACACGCCCGAATCTTCGAAAGCAAGGCGCTTATTGGCAGATCTCTACATATCCCATGGAACTGGAAGTTGGCTACGTGATTGGGCCGACCCTGACGAAATTCCAAGGGCTTTTCTCTTTGACGTTGCGGCTGGCTTTCTCGACAAGAGAAATGACGACCCTACACAGAAATCAACCCTGTGCGACTACCATCAACACGGCTTGGAGGCGTCACTTTGTTACACGGGACGTGATTCAGCAACTGATAAATGATGATCAGGAGACGCTGGATGAGAGCCGGCACTTATTGTGACCACTTTAAGTTGCTAGATTTGATGGCTCTCCGATACTAGTCGTTGTTTGACCATGCGGCAGGAATAAACATGTAATGCTCGGGAAAGGAAATTAAGCAGCGACACAGGTCAACTTCGAAGCCCTCGCAAGGATGTCAAAGGGGATATGCAGGCTTCATGCTGGCATCAGCGAACGGTCCAGTCCCGCTCGCAATGAGGTCAAGAGTAGTACCCGTATCCAATGTTAGGTCACGATCGTGATTGACTAGGGTGGTGAATAGAAGTCTTACACGATAGTCAGTCTGAGCAACACACCAGTCCACGTTGTTGTTTCTTCTTCGCAAACAGCACGATCTTATGCGCCCATTCGCATCACAGCGAAAGCTTTTAGCTTTGCTCGAAAAAGTAACCTCGGTTCCTAGGGCAGCCTTGAGCGAATTCAGAAGCACTGATTTCTGTGCAGCGCAAAAAATGTCATGGGCTGCCCATAGGATAGCCTGCTGGGTCTTTCGATGTCCAGATGCCATTGCTCTATGGAGAGGGTCAAAAAGCTTTCCGTAGGCTTCAAGAAGAGATCATGAAAGTCAATACTGACATGAGCTTGTTTCTTTGGGCAGGTCAACCATGTGATAACCATGTGAAGGCTTTGGTATGCTAGCAGCTTCACCATCATGCTATTCGAACATACGCGATTGTTTAAAACACGAGCGCTTCCAAAAATTGTTCGCGCTACGTGATGGCTGGACAGTGAAGAACGCCGGCATGAGCCTGAGGTTGTCTATCAGTCCATACCTACTGACAGAAGAGCGTGAAGGCATTTTTGTGGCTTTCTTACACGAGCCCTTCACTTACCAATTGACGGCGAAACGTGCATTCAATTGCGTCACTCCGCCCCGGGCTTCCAAGTTGTGTCAGCTGTTGATCTCGCGTCAGCCTCTCAAAGAGCATCAATCACCTGGTCATCTTGGATTCGACGTTGAGTTTAAATCGGGAAATCGGTTAGGCGTCAGAGCCTGTCAGAGACCACAAGAAAACCCAGGTATTGAACTACACGAGTGGCCTCAAATGCATGACGTGCTATCCGAGTCTGAGATTCATGCTTGTACCGTTGAACGCACGCATGCACAGGCTACTGATCACGCTCTCAGACTGCGTGAATGTGTTGGTATGCCTTGGGTTTGACATGTTTTTCGAACCACTCTGTGTGATAGTGCCTCTTTGCGGACTCCTCTATCGCGAACTTCGAGCCTGGCATACGCTCAGAGCATGTTTTGACTTGCTCTCCGATGAAGACCAGAACGAAGCCTACGACCCAAGTTGCGGCATCACTGCTTTACGCGCATCGAGTGGCATCTTAGAGTATTCCTCGACCGACTTAGGTTTGGTGGTTGAGATATCCGATTCTTCTCTTGGCAACCACACGGTCGTGATCAAGTTCGATGTTGATGTCTTCGTACGGTTCCTCGTACCCGGGGTCGAATCATTGGGCTGTATTGATCATTTATCTTATCCCGAAGACGTTTTTCGACGACTTCAGGAATTAGAGCTTCACCTATGTACATCGCAGCGACAGAGGTTGGTTCTCGGGAGTAGATGATTAGTACGTAGTCTTCCCAAACGAAAGCAGACATCGGACCTGCTAGGCCATAGAGTGCAACTGCGTCCGCGGGCGGTCGTGTTGGGACTACATAGCGTCAAAGAGAGGTGTGAAGCTGAGCGATGAAGGTCCTAATGAGAAACTTTCCCAGACGTGCAGTCACGTTCTCAGGCAATCGGGGCTCTGCGTTGTTGAATTGAAAGTGAGTCGAGCCAGTCACATCAGCATTGCATGGAGAAGGCTCTCATCAGATAAGTATGACTCCAGATGGAATTGGATGCCGTCGCTGAAGATGCGGTTGACCATTCTTGTTGTTAGGGTCGAGGTCAGCCCACTGGAGTTTCTGGATATCTTTGAAGAAGCCCATGATTGATAACGTAGCAGTAGTAACGGGCTCGCACAGTATGTTGTGAAGAAAAATATAGATCTGAGGCAGACTTCTAACAGTCCGGGACTAAATAAGCATATTCACGCATAGGAGCAGAGTGAAAATGCACAGCAGGAAGGGTGTGGCATAGAAACCTACCATGGTCTCCTACTCCCACGAACGATCATTATTTACGACTAGCTGAAGCCAAGCAGCGGCTGAAGCAGAGGTCATGGCTAGTAGCCAATCTAAGACCTGTGAGATATAGTGAGATTTCAGCTGCGGCTGAAACATTGCCAATGCGCTCGTATTTAGGCAGTTTGAAAAGTCCGGATACCATAGTAGAATGCAGCTCGCTAAGTCGTTACAGACTTCTCGTGTCCTTAGCTTGCTACTAGTCCTAACTGGAAGGCACGGACGCTCAGTCGGTGTTGCGGCACACTGCTCATTGTGAAAGACTGTGGCAAAGATTGCATGGGGTTTTGCAACACCGGCCCATGATTTGTCCTCGACACTTCCTGTTGGTACATTGTTGCTGCCGGCGAATCGGTTGGCTCTCGATCGTCGTTTCAGCCCTCCAGGTTCGCAAGAGGCACGGAGCTAGACAGAATCTCAGACGCAGACGAAAGGCGAGCGATCGTGTCTGTGTTCTTGCAACGAAGGTATACTGTTTCTCACGATTGACCACATGAACACGTTAGAGTCTGCGATCCTTAGTCGAATCCACGTCCCACTGAAATACGAGCCACTAAAGAAAGAGGCTCGTGGGTGTCACCTTTTTTTCATAAGCAAGCCAGAATGGCAACGGGCCACGACAATTTCATCGGCGACCTAGTGAAGAAGAACCTAAGCGGCCGTGAGATAAGAAGCAAACCTGGAACTGCGAGCAGAATCTGACCCTGACTAGATCAGAAACAATGTTGTCTCTTGCTCGTCCGACGGCAGAACATGATGGTAAGGCTGTGAATGAGACTTATCTGAAACAGTCTTGCAATAATTATCCAGGCTCTGAAGCCTTCCCACGTTTCAACTTGCAGGGGTTCTTGATCTTGGCATAAACTCGAAATCACCTCCAAAGGCTGGGCTCACCAAGCTAGTTTGAAAACTGTATGAAGTTAGAAACGCCTGACCAGCTCGCGGCAGAATGTAGTCTCGACCTTTTCCAGAGGAAGTTCAACCTTCAATGTCAAACTGGACGATACGTACTCGATATATGAATCCATTATCTCCGCTGGTTTTGGGTCCTTCCATAGTCGTCTAAGAAGGGTGTCGCGATAGTACCTAGCGCAACAAGGCGCCCGAGATTTCTCCCCAGCTACTGTCGTTACCAAAAATCCTAACATCTTTGTATCTTCTGGACTCCATTTCGACCCGGGCATTGGCGCCCTTTGAGCGAGGTCTATGAGCAGGATAAGCGGTGAAAGGATTATCAATGGGCAAGTGACCTTCATGAGTCGATACAACCTTGGTGAGCCTCCATTTTCTTGCGGTATCCTGCTTGCTTATTTTGATAAATGACACCCTGAATACCTCCCATTGTCTCCACACTCCTCGCTGTGTGGTACGCCTTATTGAAGGTAATGACATCGATCGCACCCGCAATGCGATTACTTTGACCATGGAATTCCACCAATTATTTGGTCGTTTCGAAGTCTACTTCGAACCCCAGGGAAATCAATTACATCCTGACCGGATTGATTCAGTACGAGAGGACTTCATGCGCCATCCAATCCTGCCAATAGAAAGCCGTTCTCTCTTTCTGACTGATACAAGAACAATCGACCCCCCTTCTGCACGATTACTGGCTGTCCACGCCGCCATTGCCCATACATATGCTTCACGTCGAAAGCAGTCTCCTGCCGTGGGGGAATCTGTCCGTGAGCCACCGGACTGGAGAGAACAGCGCATCGTCCAGATTGCGTCCATGGAACACTGGGGCATCCGCCTTGACTGGCATTGAAGCATACCATCCCGCATGGAACGGGCGTGAACCCGACTACTCCGACGACCAACAGAATTCACTTCCATCTCCTGGAGTTTGGGACATGGAAGTCATGCCTGAATCAATCATGGCTAGTCAGACACATCAGCAGGGCGTCAATCTGGAATCCTCATGGGCGGAGATGATGCCGGATGCTGAAAGCTGGAGAGTGCTATGAGCGATGTTGGAACCAGCTGAGCTGGAGCTGGAGGGATACGGGAGCACATGGTTTTGGAGGCAACCCACGTCATAAATTTTCATTTTAGACTCAATCTAGTGGCATGCTTTTCGGTTTCTGGGTGCAGCTGTTGTGTTTCTGGTCTTGTGGTTTCCCCCTTCATTGGGCAGGTGGCTACGCCCGGGCCCAACTTCATGGATGGCTGTGGGGACGCCAACGCCAAGGATTCGCTCGGGTGATCCAAGCAGTCTCTCTTCAACCAAGATAGTGGCCAGCTTGTCATAAGGAGTTTCTTGGCGGTGCACGGGCCACAGTGCTGTTTGTGGGCGGCTGTGGCCCGTGCACGCCAAGAAATCATGCCATGGAATGGGTTGGTGTTTGCTCAGCATGAGGAGGAGCTGATGACCAATTAGGGAAAGCCGAGCAGGTTGTTCAGCCACGCACGTGATTTGGAATTGTTGTGATAAACATCCAAGATGCCTGTGCGACATCATAGTTCTTTATACCTCTAACATACTTCTTGAGTCTAGCACAACATCGCTTCTTACCCTGTCTAGGTTCTACCATCTTACTCAGTCATCGAACCACAGACGCAAGATGGCCATACCCATTGAGCATGCGACTAATGATGAGCCACCGGCATTGCCTTTTAAGACAGGCGGCCGGCTAGGCCGGGAGGAAGAATATCTGATCTTTTACTTCTGTGCCATTTCATCATGGGCATTGGAGATAGCTGCTGCATGTCTAGGCTCACTCTTTGGAGCACAGAGTCATTATTTCATCGCTACCATTGCGCCGTTTCTTGCCACACACTGGTACATAGTATAGCAACCCCCTCCGAGCTTCAACCTACTCATGTATTGGCAAATATAGGATAGCTTTCCTTCAGACGTTTTGGATGATGGCGACGGCACCACGTCACACGATTGCAGAACGGATGGCGTATCTCAACCTCGCCTGCAGGTTTCAAAGACTATGCGCCGTAAGCAATCTACTCCTCCAGCAGAGCCGTTCGCTAATTTTCCAGCCTACCGCACTTATAGGCATGATTACCTGGGCCGTCGGTTATCGCTTTCGTGGTAAAGCTTCCAGTGAAGCGTACTGGATTATTTGGCTCGTGGTTTGGATCTTGAACACCGTGGTTTGCATTATGAACGTTTACAACAATATCGACTGGGAAAGTGATCTACTATATCAAATTGCTCCAGACTACCCCCAGAGAAGCTTTTGGCTCGCAGCCCTCGGAATCCGGTCAATATATCGAGCTAAGCGCGAATCTGGTACTTTTTCTTGGGGATAGTCGTGCTTTGTACACCTTCATGTATGAGTGCATAGGAGGCGCACTGGCAGGGGTCTGCAGAATAAGGCAAACTGTTGACATGGCGAGGGTGCACCCATGGCCCTGCAGCCTCTACCGAGAGCCGTTAGCGTAAAACACATATTCCTGCTTTGCGACGCGATCATGAAAACAATTGGACGGTTGCCCTCGTAGTCACACACACGTCAACGGTACTCTCTCGAAGAAAAGGAAAGCAGACAGACATCCCCATATGAAGATGCATAGGTCATGTAGTCATCACCCGCGTTTGCCTGCCGTCGGTAGAGGTAGCCACACAACCACACAACCACACAACCACACAACCACACAACCACACAACCACACAACCACACAACCACACAGCCACACAGCCACACAATCGAAGCGCCCAAGCAAGGATGGTCAACCGGTGAGGTGAAACAACTAGCAGTGATTGGGTTTGAATGCACGTTTTCGATGTCATTATGATCATTACCAAGGGACGGCAACGCTGCAACTCTATGCCCATCATTTGACGGCGCCCAAGCCCCTGGGGAACCACCCGAATGTCATATGAGTCAACTGAAAGCATTTGCTGTGACCAGCGACAAGGAGAAATTTGTGAATGGAGCCGGTGGACTTCGTAACAACCGGAGCGCGCCAAAACCGACCGAGACGAACTCATTGATCATGCCAACCAGATAGCCCGGCGCACACCTGCGACTACTCCGTCGACTGTATTGACGGACAGCCATACATCTCTATCAATGCTCCAAGAAGACGACTCTGATACTTCCACTGATGAGGTCTCTACCGTGCAAACGACTGCCAAGCGCACGAGATATGCCGGTGCGAAACCGACGACTTCGTGTACATCCGAACCCACTTCTGGATCAAGAAAGTGCTTGATTGTTTAATAAGAGCATGTTTCGCACCAGACGCCAAAATGCAACCAACGTTCGAAATAGTTGCACTTTACAAATTATTCCTCGATACGTAAGCTTCCGAGACTTATGATTGAGGCTTGTCCGGGGAGACTAGGTTGGGATCGCTGCGACAAGATGGCCGGTGTTATATCCCATACTCTGCTCTAGTTGATTAGATAGCAAACCGAGCTTTCACTCTCCCTCTCCCTATCGGCTCCAGTATCCCACACGGACAACTTGCTCAGGACCTCTACATACTCAACAGCCTCTAACCAGAAAAATCTCATCTCACTAAGATAGTCTCACTCCGTCGAAACACGATGACTGGGAACTTTTGGGACTACGCAAGCAGTGGCAGACGAAGACCAGGTATTTGGAACCTCAAGGTATCAGGAGGTTCGGAAGGGAGGTTCTGTTCAAGTCCAAAGCGACTCCTCAACTCCACTATGACCTGAATAAATATTAATGGAGGTTTGTCCATTTGACGTTAGCCGTCATTTGTATCAGTACCCAAAGAAATGGAATACACTCACCTACTGTTCCAAGCAGCGCTCAGCAACACAGACTTCAAAATTGATTGGGCGGTTGGCTATCAGGAGCCATTCTTTTGCGAAGTCCGCGATGAAGTTGGTGAAAAGCTTATGCTAGCCCATCGCAATAAGATTGTGGAGCCCGGCCTGTGACCCTAGCAGGTAATTTGGTGGAAAGATGGCACTCAATTGAGAGCCCTTCGTAACATTGTTTCTCTGTTCATGGTCGACTTTGCCTGCGCGGGGAGGTGAACGTCGGCGTAGGCAGCCCTCTGGCGGCCCTCTCTCATCGATACTTTTGTCGATCTCCGGCTCCTGCCCGAGGAGGAGATCCACATCGCCACTTTGGTGGCATTTGTGGCAAGGAAGTAAGCTCTCGCAGGCAACCTCGAGAGTAGGCGACAGGGTAGAGTGCTTCAATCATTCTGTCTGATGCTGTCGGCCTCCCGACCACATCCCGTAGGCACTATCATTCCAAGAAATACTCATGCAATCGCGTGGCGTATGAGCTACATAGTTGCGTATAAGGCGGGCCAAGCGTCATGATTGAGAAAAAGTCCGCGCCGTACCAACGTGTGATCTCGTTGACGAAAAAACCTTCCGTCTCCGGAAACACCGTTGTCGAGCCGTACACCGACCTTCAAAGACTCGAAATGGTCGTTCACATCCTTTCGAGCGCACAAAGTACTATGGATGAATGTGGCAAATCCGTGTAGTTCCTCCTTCGATGTATTGAAGCCTTTCCAGTAGAAATCGGTGTCGGTCACGTTCAAGGCGTGAATTTCGCCGTCCACCCATGTTGTCCTGATGGTGTGAAGGATCTTTGGTCTGTTCAGGGTGCCATCCCAGACTGGGAAAGCTGGACTGGTGTAGAAATTGGACCTCGCGTCGGTAGAAGCGATACTGTCCGGGTCCTCACCATACGACGAAGCAGGCCCAAGTGATTCTTGAGACGACTTGCGATTTACTGACGGCATAATCCCTCTCAATGCTGGAGGATCTGGATCAGGATATGGTTCGATCGGTGGCGGCTGCGTCTCGTTTTCCTCCGAGCCTTCAGTTTCTAAGATCCATCCACGGATTTCCGAATCTTGAGTTTCACTTTCGAGATCTGTCCACGTCTCTTCGGGGATGGGATTGCCAACAGCACGAGGTCCGGTCGGAGGCTCCTGGAATGACGATTCGTTTGAATTTCACCCCTGTAGGTGTTCAGTATCTGCCGATGCATGCAGACAACAATGAGAGCTTACCCCGGTGTATTGATGGCCCTCTGATGAATTGGTGACTTCAGGAGAAGGGAGCTGTTCCGCGACGGCGATTTGACCTCTGGCTGGACTTGTATCAACGGGCAAAAAGGGCGGAGATCTATCAATATGTCGTCGGTTCGTAGATGGTTCCGGATGCTCGATGGGTTCGTCGGTGTCCCTGTGGCCAAGTCGCCTTTCGTCGCCGACATCTGCGTCAGTCAAGTCGGGTGCCTGCAAAATGGATGGCTACAAAGGTAGGTGGACACTGCGGTCTGAAGATTGTTATTTCTGAAGTATGAGCTGACATCGTGACGGAATATTGAGTCTTCAAATTGGTAACGTCCTCTTGCCTGCGCCCAAGTGTGTCGCAGAGCAACATTGAGGGCGACTTTGGTCGTTCGAGCGCTACAGTGCCTTTGAGTCCGTGATTAGCGTCAAACCCCGCGACCCAAAGTGGCTGCTTGGCGGCTGCCTACGTCAATCAAACTCGGCCACCCGTTGCTTTGCCGCTAGCCCATTTCAAACCAGGATATCCTTAACGCCGTTCAGGATCGTTCCCGCAGGTGAGTGCTGGGGTGGGAACCCTCCCGATTTTCACGACGTGTGGTTGCAGGCTTCAAGAGTACTTAAAAAGGGTAAGCTCCATGCTGTGAGATGCAGTCGTCATTACTAACGTTCCAATGACCTTCGAGTTTTTGAAAGAGGAGCACAGTCCCGCCAACCGTCTAGTTCATCCACATTGGCATCCTCCCTGCTCGCCAAATCTGATGTTAAAAATCTCGTTTGCATCATTGGTATCGAATCATTAGAGATCTCGAAGTGGAAATTCGGAAGTTGCGCCGAACTGAATCGACATGTCTCTATTCACGTGGAGCGAAGACGGGTCATTAATGTGACTCCTCGATATTGCGTCGTAGAGCTGCATACTGGTACTCGCAGATCTGCGAAGGACGATGCTCTTGCTGACGGGTAGAGACTATGGTATAGACGGCATTTCTGCGGTATATGATGGCACCTTCGCAAGGTCATCCTCCTACGTATTCGGACGAAATGTCATGCCGCAACGTCACTGCTTCGCGGCGAACAGAACGTGTGGCTCAAAGCCATTGTTGTGGTGCAAGGACTTGAGCGCGTTCAACGGCACGCTCAAAGGCTTCTTTATTTACCAGCGAATCGCAGAATTGATGGGACCGAACCGTGCAACCACTTTTATTCGCAGCAGCATCAGCACAGTGTTGATATGTTTGGTGCGAAGAGCGACCTGGTCCTTTACAACAATGATTTGTCGCAGAGATCACATCTAAGCCAGGTTGAGCCTTCCTTAATACCCGAACGCCCACCTTCTCCGGTTTTGGAATATCTAGACGAGGAATACCTATTGCTGTAGTTTTTGTGTTGGAAATCATTGGAAGGAATTGAGTGACAACTGATTCCCATATCTTTTGGACCAAAGCCTTTGCTCGGTGCAACCCTGGTCTCCGGGTACAGCTGTGATGATATGGTATGAGTGATTGCTGGCTGTCTGCGAACATGGCCACGATACTGAAGCGGAATCTCATTCATGAGACAAATATGAAAGCTGTCAAAAACGGCGAATTGGGCCTCGGCATGATGATATGCTACCTCTAGTGACGGATATCGGAGCAGACTTTGAACGCAGCGGTGGGTACGTCGACGCGAAACTGTCCCCGGCCTACCAGTCGGCGCGAGCGTGGGGAGATAGGTCACCCAATCGCTGTTCTCCTCTAGTCTTTGAGGGTCAGGATAGGCGCCGGGTTGAACCAATACCGCAATCTCATGATTGCCGATAGGCCAGAGTGGGCGTCAACAATCATGATGCAACGCTGTGGTGTATACTACACGGCTGCATGCAGTATCAGTCGGGCCCAGGGATTAATAGGGCCAAAGGGCACCTGAGCAGCCACTAAAAGGCTGGCACCCCACGCCTGCTTGCAAAATGGCGCTTGGAGTTTCTGCCCCTCGCCCATCCACTGCCGGTGTGCTTCCTCTTATGACTGGCCCATTTCAAAGAGGACGTCAGACGGAGTAGATACGCTTGAATAGCAGGTTCAGACCGGCGTACGGTCATTTGTCTTGGTGGCCACAAAAGTCACAGGGATATGATCACAGGTTGGGACCTAGATCGGAGGTTCGGCGTGCCAACCCTTGGCTCTTACTGTAGCGCCCGGGTGAACGGTAAAAGTTTGCCGTAGGCGCCATCCTAAAACCTATCATGCTATGCATGTGTTCTAATAAATATTATTTATGAAAGCAGATAGTCGGGGGGTAGTATTCAACACTCGGGGCGTTCTTTTCGCGAAAACCACTCAATTGTCCCTTCAAGATGCGAACAAGCCATCTCACATCCTATTTTTTGTCGGTCTTAGCGTTGTTGAGCATGCAATCTCGAGCAGAAGACCTCGCTCCTGGTAAGTGTGATTGCGTTGATTCGCCGGAACTCAGCTCACAATTCGACAGCGTTACTGGGTGTGAACCTAGGCTCTATTTTCATGTATGATTTCCTTCGAAGGACATGAGCATCTTTGCTGATTCTCCAAGATCGGTGTCATATTTTACTGCCAGTGGTCCTGTTCCTCTCACCAGGCTTCGTGGTAATGAAGCCTATCAGGCCTCGATGATGGATACGCTCCCAGGAGCTCCATATCGAAAGGATTCAGCAACAATCAAAGAAACGTTCAAGCAAGCACTTTCAGAAATAAGAGATGAAGCAAGAGCCATTAAGGGTGACTTAATCCGGATCGGCGCCATCAGTTACCCGGCCCATTTTGATACCTGTGTCTTGGAGCTTAAGGCGGAGCATGATCTTAGCTTGGCGGTTACGAGGGTGAGTCGAGAGACAGTGAGTATCTTCTGCTTGGTCTCCAGCTTGCTCCTCTAGAGCTGAAAGTTTGAATGTTTGCGGACATGACTCCCCACTACTACGATGCTGATCTCGTTCATCATCCATCAATGT